TGTGACCGCATGATAGAGAGGAACGTGGCAGACTATCGTCAAGTCCTTGTGGGCAATGCCGATTGCTTTTGATATTTTCCAACAAGGTGCCGTACATTGTAACTGATACTAATGCCAGTGTCAAAATTGTTGAGACCTTTGTGTATCTGAATCGCATGCCCTGTTTTTTGCCAATACCCCGAAGTCTATCGTGGTAGATGGTTTCACCGATTCTGTGACGGCACCCGTCACTGCTAGGCAAATGCATTGCTGTTGTGAAATGTTTCGAGAACGGTGTAAATGAAGCAGAGAAATTATCTGAGATTTGATCAATTACTGTACCGACACTCAGAATCGGAATCTTTATTTATACTAAATCCGATGAGCTTTAAAGCTCTTTTTCACAGATGTCCGGCGACCGCCATGTATGTGATGGTGGAACAACTGGTTGAGTTTCTGAGGTCACACTACCCTGGTTGCTTGACATAAACAAAAAATTGCTATGACTCAGATATTGACGCTTTTGGAGACCATTTTATATTATCACAAAGGTGTTGAGTGACCAAACATATGCAACATCCAGCTGCTGTTATCCCTCATATGCAATGTAAAAGCACGCAATTATAAGAGTTGTGCTATGGACAGGCGAGAAACGCTGTCTCCAGGATCCTCCTGACAACCTGTGAGAGCTATGCTGGAAAGAGTTGAGGAGATGGGCTTGCTAGGAAAGCCAGCACTTCTCGATCCTCAGTTCAATAATGTTGCCTGTAGGTATTGAAGAGAAAACTAGGCCACAGGTGGTTGAGACGGTAGCTCCAGGCTCAACACAATAGGAGCCAGGATTATCTCAATAGACACTTGTTAGCAGAGCCAGCTGATGACATAATGGGCTGTTTTGATACTGCAGAATCAACGTCCCAGGGCATATGAACGGACATTAGCGGTGCAGTCAGAGAGGTGAACCATTACTTGGAGCAGCCCCTGCTGGATATGAAATCCAGGAACCCCATTGCATGCTGGGAAGAAAATCTCCAGCTTAAAAACCTGGCTGCACTGGCAAGACACTATATAGCTATACCTGTGACATCTGTAAGATTTCAATAATATGGGTCAATATCGCAATCAAAACTTGACATTTCCCTGTCTAAAACTGCTCACGATGGATGTGTCTTTGTGCTCCTGCAGGTGCATTTGGCTTCTTTGAGGTAACGCATGATATCACCAACTACTGCAAGGCCAAGGTGTTTGAGCACGTTGGCAAGCGCACACCCATAGCTGTGCGCTTCTCCACCGTGGGTGGGTTGCGCACAAACACTGAACACTCCCCCTTGCACTCGCTTTCATAAACTCAAACAAGAATACGTATCGCCACATGCATGAAAGCCAACACACCTGTTTGTCATTCGCACTCGGGTAAATTTGTTTCAAGCATATGCATCTGCACCAGTTGTATGTGTTGCCACATGTCTGGACGAGTTTTGATTAATTTGCAATTATTTTTCGATTTAAAGCTTTCGTGACTGCAATGATTCATCTTCTTTGGTTCTTTCGGTAAAGTCACATAGAATGAGAATAAAATAATAAATTGATGAAATAAAATAACACAATAATATTCTCACGACGTTTCGGCCACAACACAAGCGGCCTTCATCAGGTGAAGGGGGCGAGACTGTCTGGTAGGACAGCGCTGGAGTTCCACTCCAGCGCTTGTGTTGTGGCCGAAACGCTGTCGTGAGAATATTATTGTGTTATTTTATTTCATCAATTTATTATTTTATTTGCAATTATTGTTTAAATCTCAGTGTGTGCGTGTGCGCATTTCACCGTGTACTTGGGTTGTGTGATTTATTTTTGTCCGCATCAGTTACTGGTGTGTTTTTCTGTTTGAACGTGTGGGTGTGCCTGTGTGATATTTCTGTAGAGCTGTATAAGTTTATTGCCGAGCGTTGCCCACCTCGTGTGCACTTTCATTTTAGCGCACGAGTGTGTACGTGACCTCGTGTAGGTGTGTCCCTGTCTGCCGTCTTGTGCGTGTGGCCTGCACATCTTGGTATTGGAGTCATTCAAATGCTCCGAAAGCAGTTGTCGGTGCACAAGCATAATTTTAATAACACAACGTTGAGCTCTCAATGGTCATTATCATAACGTGTAATAAATATCCACTGTAAGATATGCACTTCAAAAACAACAATTCAAATTTATGTAGCGTCTAAATGAGGGTGGAGCGGTGGTTTTGTGGTTAGCGCACTTTGCTACGAACCCGGCTATCTGATTAACAATTATATATTCGATTTTAGCGTCGAAATGCAATTGCCTCTCAAGAGACTTCAAAACAACTACATCACAGGGAGTGGGGGCAGGGAAATATTGGAAAGTATGTATGTATTTTGAACTTCTTTTGCACCGTACGTAGCCAATCGTGATAATCGGAGGTGCAGGGGAAGGACATCAAATTAAACACAAAAAGATGCCCTGAAGAAATCAGTTTTCAATTTAGATTTAAACGTGCATAGCTCCAGTGGGTTCCGAATATCGGAAGAGCGTTCCAGACGGCCGCAGAGTGAAGAGAGAACAACAAATATGGCATGGCCCGGGAACGAATACAACGTTTAAGATGGTGTGTGCAAGTGGATGCGGTGACGTGTGCTTGCGTACATTGCGGGCGAGCAGGTGGAGAGTCTGGCTCTGCGGATACCGTGCGGGATCCACGGGGGTTTCCTGTGAAGTTCTACACGGAGGAGGGGAACTGGGACCTCGTTGGGAACAACGTTCCAATCTTTTTCATCCGCGACCCGATACTGGTTTGTGGTTAAATTCGTAGCCTCTTGACTCTTCTTTGCCACGTAAACTTGCACCCCCCCCTCAATCCTTCACGAGTGATTCTCTTGTCATGGGTCCGTTCAGACATTTAGAAACGTGTGCATGGTGTTTTGCTTGTGGCATTTTGTCGACGTCTTTGCTACTTGGGTATATTTCTTATTGACACGTGAATGTAGCGTCACATATGGTTACGCTTGAATGTTAATTATTTTAAAACATCCTCACTGTTTGCCCCTATTTCGGTATTTGCTTACCTAATCATATTTGCTCTGTCTGTATGCTTATGTGGCTACCTTGTGTTTGTTCACTGCGGCCTCGACCTAAGCGCTTACACCTTTCAGTCACTGACCTCGTTATCTCCTGGCTGTTTTTTTGTGTGCTGCGTGTGCACTTTTTGAGCGGTGACACCAATGGTTACCGGTCTTTGGGATACATTTGCTATAATCATCACCAGCAGCTTCCATTGTCTATCCACGGTTGGATGGAGACCTTCCAAAGCCGTTGCTTTTCCCATGCTCCTGCGATACCGCATTTCAGCTGTACATGAACTGATCTCATCTTTCCATCTTCCATGGTGGTGGTCATCTCGTGCGCCTTGTCTTCCTTCGCCGTCATTCCATCATCAGTCTCATTCATTGGCCAGCATCCCTTCAAGCGATGTTCCACCCAAGGCCACCTATGTTTGATATCTAATTTATGTTTGTTCCCTGACCCTTGTGGTTGCCCTTTCTGGCTCTCAGTGTAATTCCAAGTATCCAATAGTATACGGCACACTCTCCGTATGTGGTAAATTAACACGCAAACTGTCAAACATCATATTGCTTGTCTAGAGTGCAGCTGAACCTTACTGATAATTAATCGTTTGGTGTTAGTGTCTATAAATATGTGAACCTCACAGCATATATGTGCGTAGCATTGTGTCGAGTGATGTTTATGTGCAAATTGTTGGGCTTATTGGGAGCAAGTAACACATTTTTTTTGACCGGCATTGTGACTGTGCGCAGTTCCCATCTTTCATCCATACCCAGAAGAGGAACCCCCAGACCCACCTGAAGGACCCGGACATGTTCTGGGACTTCTTCTCTCTCCGCCCAGAGTCCCTGCACCACGTGAGTCATGCTCCCACCCTCTCACCCTCCCAAGCCGGACTAACAGAGGCCACAGTCCATGTGCTCAATGCAAAACCAGCCTGGTGACTCTTGGTGCAATTAGACGGGGATATATTTTACATTTACCTTCAATATTGTAATTTGTACATTTCTAAATCTGCAGCTCATCTGTCTCCTAACCAGATGTGCATCCTGTTCAGCGACCGCGGGATCCCCGATGGCTACAGACACATGAACGGCTACGGCTCCCACACCTTCAAGATGGTGAATGCTGCTGGTGAGGCTGTCTACTGCAAGTTTCACTACAAGGTGAGCTGCGAGCGGAGGGTCCATTAGTGATCTCTATTTATTCTGCATAGCCTCTGGAGATGCACATCTCAATTCAGAGGGGATCTTGGCAAGATAATGCTTGTGTCTGGAACCTGGGGGTAGGAGTTCAACATGGAAAGTGCGTAGAGACTTGCAGAAACTGCTGCTTGCTTATTAGATCGCTCCGGTGGCGAGATATTATCTGCCTTGCCTGGTATACAGGAGGATCATGAGTTCGATCCTGACCCTGATGATGTTTTTATATTTGTAGTTTGCATGTTTACCCATGGTCGCATGGATTTTTCTTCAATTCCTTCGGTTTTCCCCTCCACTTTTAGAAACATGCGTTTAGAGTATTTGGCTGCTGCTAGACATTTCCACGTAATAAGCCACTTCGTTGAGTTGTCATTTGTGGCCAGGTGGTTTCTGAAAAAGGACTTGAAAGCTCAGTGGGCCTTGCCTGGTAAAAAAAAAAAAATAGTTCAGAGTTTTTTTTGTCTAGTTTATGAATTGAGCACGTGTCCCCATGCTGCAGACTGACCAAGGAATCCGTAACATACCAGTGGAGGTGGCCGAGCGGTTGTCTGGTACTGACCCCGACTACAGCATCCGTGATCTCTACCGGACGATCGCCGATGGCAACTTCCCCACGTGGACGCTCTACGTGCAGATCATGACCTTTGCGCAGGCCGAGGTCCATCGCTGGAACCCGTTTGACCTCACCAAGGTACCTCTGTCAATCCCGCAGGTGCTCCGGGCTGCTTTTTTTGTCCAGTCACTGTCTTTCATCCGATAAGATTTACATTTGTGTTGGCATGTCATCAAGAGCGTTCACCTTTTGCAAACATTAAACGTGCAGCTAGCTATCACCACTTTGCTGAACTGCTTTTTGTGTTTAGTTTGTTGTCCTACCCCCACACCTCTGATTAGCGCGGTTGACTATGTACGGTGCAAAATAATTTCAATATAGATTATACATACATACACCACCATGCACTTCTAAAAACATGCACGACATCAAACACTTATAACGTCTCACGTGCTGTTTCATCTGCCGTGGGTAACTCCTGTTAAGACTTGTGCCATAGTCCTGATCGCGAGAGGGATCTGTGTGTGCCCCGTGTGCTCAGGTGTGGCCGCACGGGGAGTTCCCCCTGATCCCGGTGGGTCGCCTGGAGCTCAACCGCAACCCCACCGACTACTTTGCTGAAGTTGAGCAGATTGCCTTTGACCCGTCCAACATGCCTCCGGGCATCGAGCCCAGCCCAGACAAGATGCTGCAGGTCTCGCCATCTCTGCCCCCCTCCTCTCCCCATCCTATAACCGCTGATGTCATTAACTACGACGACAACGCACAGTATCGTTTTGGGTGAATTTACCTGTGTCGGTGCGTGCGTGTGTGCGCACCTTCAGGGAAGGCTGTTCTCGTACCCGGATACACACCGGCACCGTCTGGGTGCTAACTACCTGCACCTGCCGGTGAACTGCCCTTTCCGTGCCCGCGTCCGAAACTACCAGCGTGACGGTCCCATGTGCATGTTCGACAACCAGGGTGAGTTGCCTGTCTCCTGAAGCAGCTTTGTGTTCTTCGTATGTTTTATAACATCAAATATATTACACGGGTCTAATGTTTTTTGTGTAGGCATGTGCACCTCTCTGTTCGTGCTCCCCTTTAATATGATGCCAAGGGTTTCTCATTGTGTAACGTCCCAAGTGACCTAGGCACCACCATTCTTGGTCACGCATATCACTAGCAAACAAAGTCTGGGCTTGATACAGTGTCATCACCATTGCCACGCAGGGAGAATTGAGCAGAAATTATCAGCGGAGAATGATACGACGTGGACCCTGGGCTTCACGTCTGCCTCCCATTACGGGCACTGTCTTAACAGACCGCGTAAGGTTTTCGCAGTCGTGCTGCGTAGCCTTTCTTGTGTTTTCCGGTTGTCTGACACTCTGCTCCACGTGCAGTGAGTTTTACAGCACTTGGAGCGACACATCGGACACCGTGCCGAACAACGCGTGGTACAACCCGAAAGTGATTCGGGAGAGCGATTATTCTGTCAAGCAGAACGTTGCTGCAGCTGCCTGACCGGACGCGTAAATGGAAATTTTTGTCTTGCGTTTGCTTACAGCCGGTGCACCCAACTACTACCCAAACAGCTTCAGCGCTCCCGAACAACAGCCACACCTGCGCGAGCACAAATTCGCCGTCAGTGCCGATGTGCAACGCTACAACTCTGCCGACGATGACAACTACTCGCAGGTAGGCACACGTAACCTCGCAAGCCGAGGCACCAAGGGTACCGCCGGTGCACACACTTTGGTCAGCACATTCAGAACTTGAAACACACACACAAAAATAAAAAAAATTCAAAATCCTCTGTGTGCATCCACACACAAAAGAATGTACCGGTTGCCCTCGCTTTATGCGGGTTTGGTTTGTGCAAATTTGTGCATATGTGGATAACCAATTTCTACCCGAAATTAGCTATATGTGGTTTGAATTCACTCGTATGTGGGTAAGCGTTCGGACGTGGGACATTGTGTGTACTGTATGCGCTACTTAGCAGACAGCTGTCTCGTGCGGCTTGGCTTTGTGCGCCCTTGTTTTGGAACGAATCTACCGCACAAGGCAAGGGAAACCTGTACACGCGCACACACACACTAGCATCCCAACAGCTGCTCGTGTGTGGAGCGCTGGTTATGGGGTGCGCTGGTTCGACTGTGTGTGTACATTGTGCCTCCGTGCGTGTGCGCCCTGCGCAGGTGAACACGTTTTATGGCTCCGTGCTGAGCGAGGCTGAACGCACGCGCCTCGTGCAGAACATCGCTGGCAATCTCAAGGAGGCTCAGAAGTTCATCCAGGAGCGCATGGTATACACACGAACGCACCTACACCTGCACACGTGTATACGCACCCACACGCACATACACACAAATGCATTTGAAATGTATCTGCTTAAGCGTGTTTGTTTCGCATGCAGCTGTGGTGCAGTAGTTTTGAGATACTTGGATGGTATTGTTAGATTCTGTTCACATGCTGCACTGAGGGAGCTACCACGCAGTGCATATTGTACAGGGTGGACATGTTGACACGAGCGTGTGCCAATGTCGGTGCACATATTGAGCGAAAAGCCCACGATAAAGGCTGTTTTGTACGGCGTTGTACGTTGGCCGTGACGGACCTCACCCGCTGCGTGGTACGTGACCCCGTGCGCTTCCAGGTGAAGCAGCTGACCCTGGCACATTCGGAGCTGGGCGCCCGCGTCAAGGCCCTGCTGAATCAGCACAACGCTCGCTCCTCCTCGGTACGCAAACTCACCTGGGGAACCTGGTCACTTAAGACACGAACGCGGGCGCAGACGCAACCAAGGATAACTTTGATCGCATGACAACGGCACTCACCTGGAGATGTTGCGACCTGAAGGCATCGCTGCCTGCCCACCCCAACCTCTGCTCAGTGGGAGGTCATGCCTTCTCTGATAGCCGCCTGTTGTCTGGAATTCCCTCGTCCCAGCCGTCTGTGCTGCAGGCTCTCTGCGCCTGTTCGAGGGCTCAAGGAACTTTCTCCTTCCCTTTGCCTGTGTCCTACGAAATGTCTGTCATGTAAAAAATTAATGATATTCAGTAAAAACCCAATGGGCAGGCCCTATTATGTAGCCACACCGAGTTGCCTGAATAATAAAATAAACCCCGCAGCCTCCACTTCCCCCGAGAGCACGTGGGTGCAACGACAGTGCCACGTGGTAGAGCAGTTTCCGTCTATCCCCCCACCCTCCTGTGCGTGCCACTGTTTTCAGAGTATCGTAGCTCGGCAACAGCCGTGTTGGTTGCAGGCCAGTGGAGGAATCGAATTTCAAGCTCCGTGGTTTTTTTTCATCAGACAGTAACTCCTCTGTAACGCTCTTTTTTAACTTGTTACTTATTGTCAACTCGGGTTTAACAAGTTGTAGCCTATTTTTGTAGTGTTACATGGGGTGTTTTGGTCGACAGCATACTGGTGGTGCTGAAGCTAATTGGCACGTTTATTCCTGTGACAAATGTATTTAATTGGCTATATTGGGTGGAGGGTGAATGGCACACGATCTGAACCAAATATCATTTAAGAATCATATGTCGCGGAAGCCTGCGTGTTAAATCCAGGTTGCGTTATATGGAGAGTACTATACCTAACCACAGCATACACAGTACACGCACAAATGTATACATGGTACTTTAGTTTTTATCTTTCTCAGCGGCTTGGCTCTGCTTTCATCCAGCAGTGGATTAACCAGGATTACTGCTGATCATGATAATGAAGTAATGTTCCGTTACTTGTAATTGTGTTTCCAGAATGCGGTGCACACGTACACCCAGCACGGCTCAGGTGAGAAGGCCAACCTGTGAGCGGTCTGCACTTCCTGGTACCCGGCAAGGCCCCACCAGGGCCTCTGCTCGGGCCAAGGTGACCACAGGAAGTAGCTCTTGGCACATAAACAAATCGTACCAATCGAGCTTTCAAGTTGTGACTTTGAGATTTACTTTTCTCAAATCAATTTTGATTGATGTGGCCTTCGATCTATTTTTTTGGCCAGAATGTAGATTCCATATCGCTTCCGTCCACATTAGGAGAGCTAGGAAGTTGCTGTAGATTTTTGCTGATTACTGTGATGGGAAAAAAGACTGACTCGTGAAGAATCGTAAAAACCTCGGTTTTCAGGCCTCGTGCTGCCACTGCATGTTCTCAGCCTAGGAAAGGGCAGCTTTGTTCATTACCAATTTGACAAAGAGATGCCACATGCATAATCTAAATTTGCACTGCAATGCAGCGTTAGAATTGAACTGATCTTTTGAGGTGGCATGAGAATAAAAATTTCATGTGAAATTTGTCTGTAGCCTGTTCTTGATGTGAATCTCATTAACAATACACCAAAGGACAACTTGTCAGACGGCAGTCTCGACTATAGGGTACTCCGTGTTGCTGCCATCTTTCCAATATACCTTTCATGTATTATCATGTTAACAAACTAATCGTGTGCATTATGATAACCGATTTTGATGGTCATCTGTTTGTACTAAAAAAAATTAAACTGATTTATGAAACTGCAGATGGTTGTTTGGCCTCCATTCACATGTTTTTGCCTTGAGATACAAAGCACCATATTTTTGTAATTTTTTAAATAGCCAAGAAATGTTTATTTTTTTCCAAGTGAGAAACACGGGATATGACAATGTACAGCCTGCCTGCACCCAGTCTAAGTTATAATACATGGAGTGGTGGTGTAGCTATTAAGTGTGCAGGTTCTGTAACTGCACCAGGGCCCACAGGCTAGAGGGGGCCAGGCCCAAGGCTACAAAATGTTGAAATTGAACAGAGTGCTGCTGCCCCATTTAATCCCTTGCACCAGAGCCCATTCCAACCACGCACCATGCCACTGGTATGGGAGGAGTGTGAAGACCACCAGAAGGGATGGCCGAGGTGTCGTCCTTGGGGAGGGAGACGTCTACGATGTATGTCTTGGTGCTGAAGGGTGCAGCCAGATACGTTTGAGCAACTAGGTACAACCAGGAAGAGGAAAAAACCTGAGCTGTGGGTGCTGCAAAGGCCAAAAAAACGTTTCTGTAGGAAGTAAATCTCACTTGAGATTCTATGGGAGATGAAAACCCTGCAGTGAATTTGAGCTAAAGCCTGTCTTGTCATTGATATATAGAGCCTCTATTCAAGGTTCTTTACAAGGGTTTTTAGTGGTACAATGAGAGTAGCTAAACGTGATATGGTGAATAGGTATGGGGAGTGAGTATGGGAATTAGGGGTACCTAGGGATGGAGGGAAGGATAAGCCATGGAGAAGAGGTGGTCTTAAGGGAGGAGCGAAAACTCGACGGAGAGGGTGCTTCTCGCTTGATGTGGAGGGAAAGTTTGTTCCGGGGCAAGTAGGGAAAAGGAGCAGAAACGGGATTGTGCACAAGAAGAGGGAGGAACGTTTTAGGAGTAGGAGAGATGAAGAGTGGAGCGGGTGGGAGGGGACAAAATGAGACAAAGGAAGCGAGGTACAGTGAGGCAAGGCCAAGAAGGTGTTTATATACTATACAAAGATAAAGATCCCCCATATAGCCTAAACAGACTGTAGGGGCAAAGTGCTGTTAGCGAGCACCTATGAAGGCCGGAACGGCGCACGAGGGGGTGGGTAGCCAGCATCAGTCTCCCCCAGTGGCGATGTTTACACACCGCACCAGGTACTCATTTGAGACCGAGTCGACCTAGGGGAGGCCCGGGACCGGTTCAGATAATCGTCACTGGTGTTGGCCGTGAGCGGGAATCAAACCCGGATCGCCAGGTTCATAGCGCAGTGCGCTAACCGCTACACTACCGCTCCCCACACAGCACAACATGCATTGCAAATTAACTGTGTGCGTTCTATTGAATGTTGCCAAGATGCAGGTGTCCTGCCTGCAAACTGCAATCCAAATGCATGCGCACACTACAAGCAGTTGAACCAATAACTTGAACATCAAGGTATTCTGTGTAGGACCATCGGGAATCAATTTTGAGCCTGTCAATACACGGTTCGTTTACGGCCCTCCCCAGGCTGTGTTGGTCATAGGGGCAGGTGGGGTGGTGGTTGTTGGCCATCCAGCATTTAACGGTGCTGTTCAGTGCAGGATGACGGTGAGGCGCAAACAGCATAAGAGTATAACAGATTTTTCTGTACTGTCCTCTGCTGTCCACGACGTAGCCCAAGGTATGCCTCTGACAACCTGCAAGGTGATCAAGCCTGGCTTGGCTTCCTAGACATTGAGATGCATTTCGGGTGATTTGTACTTTTAAATTCTTTGCTACTTTTCTTTTATCAGTACAAAAACCCAACGTTGTTTTTTTACAGAAAATGTTCTGATATAATTTGGTCGAAGTGAAAACACAATTACTGCAAGTGAAAACACAATTACTGGAACGTGTTGACGTTATTCTAATGGGACGGGAGCAGTGCTCAAGTTTGAATTTGTTCCTTTCACAAAAGCAATCGCGCACACACACACGAGACCAAACCTAGGTCACATGTTCCTCATGCTATTACTACATCAAAAATCTTCAACATATATTTGCATATTTTTTTCCAATGTAAGTAATAATACATACTTTTCACGTTTCCTTGTACATTCGCACAAGTGCTCATCTGAAAAGCATACTAGTTATGCTCTTGCATATACAGTATTTACTTTGCCAATGCCTGTTTGCCCAAGCTGAAGGTATTAAGAGTCTCAGTCCCACTACTCATCACCACCTGTGAAGTGGTTCCACATTCAGCCACTGGAATGTGCTACAAAAAAAATATTAAACGGTGTGCAACTTGTTCCCACGATAGAAATGAGTGACAGGCGAGAATACCCTGCTGAATGGCTTGTTGTTGGTTATCTGAATATTCAGTGACTCAAATCGCAGCTCCAGTCATGTTCTGTTCACCAGCAACAGGGGGCCAAACACCATTATATATAAAAAATGCATCGCCTGCAGCCCTGCATTATTGCTCATTATCTTCATGATTGGCAAGCACAATGTACTCGCAGATATAAATCTGTTAAAAGGCACAAATGGCTCGCAAGGAAACTTTGTTAAAACATAAACATTCAAATAAATGACCTGCCCCATTATTCAGCTCCAACTCTGGAGCAAGCCTTCCATTTGTCTCTTGTGACTCAATATTTCTATGGCTTGAGAAAAAAGCCAGAAAAATCTATCTTAAATTTTCGTCTGAATCATTTCACTTTACATAACCGTGTTATAGCAAACACTTAAATGAATTACATTACACAAAACCACCAACCTGGAGATCAACCATAACCTTGAGCAGACTCTTGGTATTGGCCATTGTTATAGTAATTCCCACGTGAGTATGCTTTTAAATAAGTCAGTATATACTAAATGCCATGATGTCTTGTGTGACAGTAAAAGGCATTCCACTGGGAAACCAGCTCGAGTCGCTGCACAAAACACCCCCCCCGCCTCGCACCTCCCTGCTACTCCCAGCAGAAGCACACAATTGGTGCTGCGTGCGACGCATATAGTGCCACCGCACTCGCCCTGCACCAATACCCACGTGTCCACCCAGCACCCCCACACCAATTCCTTCTGCACTCCCATCGCTCTTCAAAGCTCTCGAGGCTCCAGTCAGTCAAGTGTCATGGCACATCCCGTCAGGGGGCACCGCCTGGACTGGCTCGCCGGTCTGAGAACCCCAAGCACGCCCCTTGGTGAGGTCGATGGGTTTGGTCACTGCCAGGAGTTGTAAGAAGGCGGGCTTGTGGGCCCCCTCGGGAGAGCCGATACGGGCGGCTCCTTGGCAAAGACGTCCGCCATGGCTTGCAGGAGGCCACACGTGGTGGAGTTCGGCTGGGGACGTAAACATTCGCACACGCGGCACCAGTTGAGCGGGGCACATGATGTGGAGATGACAGTGACGTGCAGTGAGGTCAATGGCTGGGGAGGCACTGGCTAGTGTCAGAGCCAGATTCACACACTGAGGGGCGCGTGGCCTCACAGAGGGGGGCGTTAGACACGTCCCCCTCAGTGAGGCAGATGTGATAGCTGCCTCCCCTGGTGTTTTTTCATTGCAGTTTCATGACGAGACCAGCGAGCCTAAATATCTTTATGCACATACGTGAAATAAGCTACCTGGAGTGTGGAAGGCGAGGACATGAAATGAAGGGATCTACAAACATTACATTGGTGACATACAGAGATAGTAACAGGCACGCGCTTGTTGTCTGTGCTCCATCCAGTTACTGAGGGGTTGTGCAATCAGAGGGGAGGCTGAGCTCGTCGCTGCCTCACCTCTCGTCTCTTCCTGTATTTGCAGTGTAGCTCCGCAAATTTGGCGATTTTGACTATAAAAATGATTGGAATTGTACAGAAATTACATTTATAACACAGATCAGGGGAAACATCTTAATATTTATTTTATTTGATTATTCTTTTTTTTTACTTTTCGTAACAGCTATTTTCATTGGAGTATGACAGGCGAGGCTCTGCCTCCCCTGACCGCACGTCCCTGTGAGATGATTGCTTACATGAAAATTTACATTTCAATTGAGAAGGCTGGCTGTGATTGAAAGAGTGTTGTTTGCACACACTAATGTTGAAAAGGCCCTTAATAGCATGTTAAATGGTTGGTATACTAAACTATTTTCCTTTTATTTAGCAGGTAAGGCCCACTGAGCTATTAGCTCTTTCTCAGAAGCGACCTGGCCACAAATCATAGCTAAACAAAGTGGCTTATGTGGATTTTTTGTTTGCAGCCAAATACTCTAAACGCATGTTTCTAAATGTGGAGGGAAAAACCGGACCACCTGGAGAAAAATCCACGCAACCACGGGGAGAACATGCAAACTCCAAATATACAGGCATCGGGGTCAAGATCGAACCCACAACCTCCTGTGTACCAGGGGAGGTAGTTAACATCTCGCTGCCACGGCGTGTGGTGCGGTTGTAACAAGACAAGCTGTGGTGTTGCTTGTACAGGTTGTGGTGCGCTCACACACATGCGTCCAGTGCTGCAGGTAGGGCAAATACACTCGGCCGCGTGAGTCCACGTGGTGCCCGGGGTTGAGAATCATATCCTGCGTAGGCTGCACGAAGGCCAGCGGGGGGCTGTACGGGAACGACTCGGGGAGCCACAGGCGCACGGGCATGTTGTACTCGACCCCTGCGGGGCACACAGGCGGACAGGCGGGCGGGCGGGCGTGGCGGGGTCACGCGGCACGGGGCATCACTCACAAGCTGCATTCTCATGGCAAGGGTGCGATGCATGACTTCCTGTGGAGTGCTTTACAGCGAAAAGGTGATTTGGCAAGATTAACACTAATTCCAACGACGTCGATAAACTTTACTTAACCGTCAACTTAACACAAGCACCTCTGCTTCATTCGACAGGTTTATTTGATGTATCGTTGTTCAACCACGGTAAGGCTCGTTGAACTAAAAAAAAATTCTAGATGACCTCGGGGATTGGTGGAGGGGTAGAAAGATACAGAAAAATTAAAACAATTGACAACCGAAAATGTAACGATTAACAATTTGAAAAGGGAAAAAAAGCACGATGGCCAACAGATGGTGATGTATCTTGAACTTCTTTCGCACAGTACGTGGCCAACCGTGCTTAACGGAGGTGCGAAACAGAGGTGTGATAAACTCTGTCGCATGAATAATAATTCAAGATGTATCATTTGCAATCACTGGCTTGGAACTACACTTCAGAAAATGTCCGAGGCACAGTCCGAGCGAGCGTTTTAATTGTCGTTACAATATAGGAGACTGTGCTTTCCTTAAGTCAACAACATTTCAGCATTTTTCACATCATGCGTGGCATTTCAGGCCAGAAAAAATACAATCTTCAATGCAACATGAGCCATGTAGCCTCATGCAGGACCTATAAAATACCTATAGCGATGAAAAATGAGAGCTGTGAAGACATGTTCACTGTGATTTAAACCGACAGGGAATATTACTAAGTTTCTAGTTTTGTAATCCGACGATACTTTCAAACGTAAACAAACGTTTCAGTTTGACTCAAACACTATCACTTATAAGTTATAGGGGTTATGCATTTTGTTTAAAACTGATATCTTGAAACGAATATAATTTGTTTAATTGTGAGCCTTCTTCCTGTTAGACCGGTTCGAAAGGCTGTAACCTGTAACTATCATAACACTGAGAACAAGGAAGTCAGATCTGTGCATGATGTATGACCTTTTTAAAATGTTTTAAAACAGTGATCCCTAACATAGGAACATTCACCGGACCCTAACTTTAACTCCAAACTTAAAACAGCTTCCATAAAATCCAAAGCATCCATTCAGTCTGCTGCATAAGCTCTGGAATTAGAGAAAGAACTTATCTCTCCGCAAGTAAGACGACCAAGTAAAAAAAAGTATTGAGACTTACCACATTAAACCATGGTAGCACACACGTGAACCCTCCTCACGAGCTGAGTGTGCGATTAATACGGTCACGTGCACATGTACAATACAGAACACATTTTGATCCATGCAAAAAACATAAGCACACGTGTACACATGCACACACACCCACCCACCTTCATAAATCACAGGGATTGTTCCACTGAGATGCAGCAAATTCTTGTCAATCCCATTCGTGGCCACTGAAAGGAAGGGGCATCACCGATGCATTACAACAATGCTTTCCAGCTATAAATATCCATCACAATAGAGCATTCTGAACCGCCAAGAATTGGACATTTTTGTCTGGAAATAATTAAAGGCGGTTCCCCTTTTACTTTTACTACACTATGCGTTCCTGGAAACCCCGTCATAAATCAGACCCAATTTTTCCATACACAGTAGAAACAGTCGAAACATCACTTGCCGAAGTGTTTTTTTCCACATCAATTACATACACCCAGCCATCAGATTTACTATGGAAGTCGAAAAAGATGGCAAGCTACCTTTTTTTGGATGTCCTAATAAAAAAGAGACCTGATGGTTCAATGAGCCACTCTGTCTACAGGAAAGCTACCCATACGGATGCTTATCTGAAACCGGATTCCCACCACCATCCATCACAGAAGAATTCTCTCATCAAGACTCTGCACCATAGAGCCCAATGCATATCCGACCAGGGACACATAGGCAGTGAACTCAAGCATGTACACCAAGCTCTTAAGGCTAATGGTTACTCCGACTATACAATCCGCAAAGTTACCACTCAAACCATGAAGAAGGACCCTCTTGAGGAGCCTTTCAAAACCATCACTTTACCCTACATTGCGGGTATTACAAAAAAGATCTCCAAAATCTTGAATAAACACAAGATCCAGGTCCGTTTCAACACATTACATAAAATCCGTGATCTGGTTCCGTCTGTAAAAGATGTGATTCCGGACATACAGTACCCTGGTGTTTACAAACTAAGTTGCCTCTGTGGTAGTAGTTACATTGGAGAAACCAAACGACATGTCTCGGACCGCATTCGTGAACACAAAGCAGACCTTAAAGACGGTAGGACCAACACCTCGGACATGGTTGATCACTGTTATAATTCAGTAGGCTCACATGATATTGACTTCTCCAAGACAGAGGTTCTTTGCAAGCCATCTGGCTACCATGAGAGATTCGTTCATGAGGCTATCCACATATACAAACACAGAGACAATTTCAACCAAGAAGATGGATTCTGGCTTAGCAATCATTGGAAGGATTTGATAAACCATTTCGGGTCTTAATTGATTGTTCACGCTTACGGTGGCTTTCAGACAGCATACATTAATTTTTCGTCTCCCCTCTCCTCTTTCTGAACATAGATGGACTCGTCCATCTATCAAACTGTCAAATCGCTACCCGTGGCGCTAACGTTAATAAATAAATAAATGCAAACCGCCACTTCTTTCAAATGTTCTTGCCATTGGTTTTCACACCTGATGATGACCGCTTGTGTTGCAGTCGAAACGTCGTGAGAATTTTGTTTTATATATTTTATTATTTTATTGTTTCCCTTCAATGTGATTTTACCGAAAGAACCAAGAATATAGGGTTTAATAGGTAAAAATCCACAAAAACACTTGAGAATAACAAAATCTCCACGCCAAGTCTGCGTCGTAAGTTAAGTTTCTGCATCTTAAATCGATCGATGGTGGCATTATATAAACGTCGTAAATGTGGATTGTTGTAAACCAGAGACCACCTGTATGAAGAAGGGGCCTTAAAACAAAACAATTGAATCAAGGTAAAATATTTGTGCGAGTTGTTTGTCTCCAATGAGTAGTGACAACCAAAAACATTGTCGAAGTTCTTCACGTAGTTTGTCAGTTTTACTTACAGGGGAATTCAGCATTTTTTTCAACATTTTTAGAAAGTTCAAGAGTTGGGTGGGGAGATTTGATGAGGGTCAGTCGATGGTGAGGAGTTGCCAACGAGGTGAGAGATATTAAAAAGCAACGAGGGAACACAAAATAACGAGAAATGTGAGAAATCCACACACAAAGCAGCACGTGGACAAAATAAGTGACAACAGCAACAACAGCCACCATTCGCCACTAAGTTGAGGTAGTGTAGCCACACTGCCTGTGCCAAGCCAGATGCACTTTGAGGCCACGTGAAGTGTCGAGGGCTCGCCGGCAGGTCACATGACAGACCCAAGTGCCATAGGTTGACTGAGATTACTCGCAGATGCACCAACACACATGCGCAGAAATAGGCTAATTGCCACAAGCAGGTACGGCAAGAAAATGACATTGACAGTGAGAAGCAATAAGACATTGAAAGACTAAGACAAAGGAAAACAACACGTGTAGACTTTCAATCAAAAAACACGTGGTTCTCTAAAGCACTTAGTTAAACAGTGAAGGTAAAATTTTTATTCAAAGCTTTCGTGACTGCAGGGATTCATATTCTTGGTTCTTTCGGTAAAGTCACGTAGAAGAGAAACAATAAAATAATTAAAATATAAAACAATAAAATTTTCACGACATTTTGACTGCAACACAAGCAATCATCATCAGGTGTGTTGCAGTCGAAACGTCGTGAGAATTTTATTGTTTTATATTTTTATTCTTTTATTGTTTCCCTTCTACGTGACTTTACAGAAAGAACCAAGAATAGTGAAGGTAAAGTCAATATCGATGGCAATGCACTGTGCCAATTGCTGTTCACAACTGAGATCATTCTTCTTATCCCGTGCATAGCAGTCCCAAGTTTAACTTTGGTGTGCAATGAGAATAATGGCTGGGAACGAGGTGGTTACTCTTACAATGCAGGCTAGCTCCTACAGATTAAGAAGTTAAATTCTCAACCTTTGCAAGAACAGAAGATGTAAGATAGAGAACAATGTTAAACACAGGATTATCTACTGCTTACCCCACCATGGGAAATTGGAATTTCCACCACGAGTTATGTTTGAGCAAGACGCACCCAGAAGTTTGACACGAGAACACGATTGTATCACCTCGCCATTAAGGCTGCGCTTCTCACTTCAAAGGTATTTCCTCCTCAATGTACATTTAAGAGGTGCTCATCTCCTTTACAGTCCTGAGCCAGTGGTGAAAATTCCACGTTACTATGGTGGGAGTGAGTGTTTTCCAAGGGACAACCAATCTTGATTTCCCGCACACAGTAAGTAGTACTTATGTAAAAGATCCCAGATGGATGATGGGCTAAGTAAGACAACCCCCAGCCACAATTTGAACTAACAACTTCATGATTGCGGAGCGTTGTTGGCTCTATCGCCGAGCCATCTGACCGCTTTTACTTGAATGTGGAGAATAATCCGGCTGAGTGATGAACGTGGCAATGCAAACAGCAGCAGTGGTTTCCATCGCCGCCGAGTGAGTGGTAGAGGTCATGGGTGCCACATACGAGTGAGTGGTAGGTAGGAGGTGCCGAATACAAGTGGTAGGTAGAAGGTGCTGTATACGAGTGAGTGGTAGGTGGTGGGTGCCGTATACAAGTGGTAGGTAGTGGGTGCCGTATACAAGTGAGTGGTAGGTAGTGGGTGCCGTATACGAGTGAGTGGTAGGTAGGAGGTGCCGTATACAAGTGGTAGGTAGTGGGTGCCGTATACGAGTGAGTGGTAGGTAGGAGGTGCCGAATACAAGTGGTAGGTAGAAGGTGCTGTATACGAGTGAGTGGTAGGTGGTGGGTGCCGTATACAAGTGGTAGGTAGTGGGTGCCGTATACGAGTGAGTGGTAGGTAGTGGGTGCCGTATACAAGTGGTAGGTAATGGGTGCCATATACAAGTGGTAGGTAGTGGGTGCCGTATACAAGTGAGTGGTAGGTAGTGGGTGCCGTATACGAGTGAGTGGTAGGTAGTGGGTGCCGTATACAAGTGGTAGGTAGTGGGTGCCGTATACAAGTGGTAGGTAGTGGGTGCCGTATACAAGTGAGTGGTAGGTAGTGGGTGCCGTATACGAGTGAGTGGTAGGTAGTGGGTGCCGTATTCAAGTGAGTGGTAGGTAGTGGGTGCCGTATACAAGTGGTAGGTAGTGGGTGCCGTATACAAGTGAGTGGTAGGTAGTGGGTGCCGTATACAAGTGAGTGGTAGGTAGTGGGTGCCGTATACAAGTGGTAGGTAGTGGGTGCCGTATACGAGTGAGTGGTAGGTAGTAGGTGCCGTATACAAGTGGTAGGTAGTGGGTGCCGTATACAAGTGAGTGGTAGGTAGTGGGTGCCGTATACAAGTGAGTGGTAGGTAGTGGGTGCCGTATACAAGTGGTAGGTAGTGGGTGCCGTATACAAGTGAGTGGTAGGTAGTGGGTGCCGTATACAAGTGAGTGGTAGGTAGTGGGTGCCGTATACAAGTGAGTGGTAGGTAGGAGGTGCCGTATAAGAGTGAGTGGTAGGTAGTGGGTGCCGTATACAAGTGAGTGGTAGAGGTAGCAGGTAATGTATACGAGTGATAGGTAAGAGGTGGCGTATACGAGTGATAGGTAAGAGGTGCCATATACGAGTGAGTGAGTGGTAGCAGGTACCGTAGACGTCTCGTCCTGGATGCAGCTCAGCGTATCGGGCTCCTGCCAGGCGCACCTCCATGAGTGTTAGGTCTCTGAACCGGTACTGTTCACACACACAAGCACAAAGATCCCCCATTTATCCTTTTAAGACTGTTGGGGCAAGTGCACAGCACACGAGGTGGATGGGTGGCCAGCACCACGCCCGGCCGCCTTTGTCTCCTTAATGGCGATGTTTACACGTCGCACCGGGTATTCATTTGAGGCTGCGTCAACCTAGGGGAGGGCCGAGGACTGGTTCAGATAAATCGCCACTGTTGGCATGAACCGACACACTATTGTTAACACAATATACACACACAAACATAAACCACACATACCACACACACAATCACAAATGTCACAAACACCATGCAACACCACAGCCATCCATACATACCAAGAATACATGCCATGTACACACACATATCACATACACAATACATGGCGACTCGCATCTATCATAGACGTCAACACCGCCCAGTCACACAAACCACATACAGTGCAATGTCAAGACCTGCATACCACACATGTTAATTTGGCGATTCTGCGTTAGCAGTGGTGCAGAGAAGCACAGCTAATAAAACAACATCTCAGCACTGCGTCACTAACACTGCTGTTGCCTTCCTGGTAAAAGTAAATAGCAGGTGACGTTTCGGGCAATGGCCCTTCTTCATACCACCACCACCACTCACGCTTATCTCGTGTATAGCACAAAAACTAAATACAAACATCCCCGTGTAGCCTGCAATAGACCGCTGGGGCAAGTGCTTGTAGCTCGTAGCAGCACCTGTGCAGGCCGGCACGGCGCACGAGCAGGGTGGGTGGCCAGCACCACGCCCGGCCGACTTTGTCTCACCAGCGGCGATGTTTACTACGCACCGCACCGAGGTAGTGATTTGAGGCTGAGTCGGCCTAGGGGAGGCCCATGACCGGTTAAGATAATCGTCACTGGCGTTGGCCGTGAATGGAACTCGGGTCGGCGGGTTTCTCGCGCAGCGCGCTAACCACCACACTACCGCCACCCCTCACCCACACACACACCCCGAGAAGCTTCTCAAAGTCTCTCTCCTCTCTCCCTCTCTCTCTCCGGCGCCTCTCTCCACGTGGACCCGGCGGCGGCGGCGTCGGCGGCGGCCTCCCCGTGTCGACCCCCCCTGACCTCCCCAGCTCTCACGTTTCTCATCAGCGGCCTGAGCGCATCCTCGGGGCCCTGCGCCATCGCCAGCTTCACACCCCCCCCACCGACCCCCAGAGATCGATCCCGCGGGGGTCCCGGTCCCCCTTGCGTGGCTCCCCCGTGTCGCCGTGGGGAGGCGGAGGAGGCGGCGGCGATGACTCCGCGTCCGGGACAAGCCGGGGCCGTACCCTGGAGACGAATCGAATACCGGAATCGGTTAATCTCCTCTCGGTCGATTCCGATTCGGCGTTCGCGGCTCGGTTGCCCAAGGGGGCCTCTGTTGGCTCTCTGGTTTCTAATTTGGTTGTTCTGGTTTCTAATTTATAATTCCTTGTTTTTGCTCGGATTCCCACTTGTATGCGTGTTGGACTTCTTTCGCACCGTACGTAGCCAAACCGTGCTAATTTACTTAATTTCCATTTTCGTTATTTGGGTGACCCACGTCAATGTGTACATGAGACTATATATAATATAATCATTGGGAGCCTCTTGAGTTTTCCCCTGGTTAAACAAAGCGAACTTGTAACTTGAATACGGTACGTACTATTTTAGCGGCAACTGTTACAGCAATTGACCCTCTGGGATACACAATGAAAAATAACAATGCCACTGCATCATCATCATAATACATTCGTCGGTGATACTGCCCCCCTAAATGAAAACGATATTTAATAGGTGGCAATTCTGGGAATTCCCTTTATATCTTCTTCTGCGCGACTAAGACGTTAATTGTCTCAGCTGGCGAAGCCTCCAATGAGCTGAGCAGCTCCGTTACAAGAAACATCACAGACCAAGACCGCCGGCAGTGGCGGAAGTTACTGGGCATTGCTCGGTGGGAATGGAAGAGGTGCATTGGCCGAAACGTTGACTGGAATATACGGTGCGTATTTCCTTTGAAGGCCACTGTTATTGACGACTGTTGATTTTGTAAGAATCGATATCACCCATCCGACGAGAATACTGTACTCGATATTGAATGGAAGGAGCTAATCAATGGACATGATTCAATTGCATTGATTCAGTATACCGTACTGTATGGAAGTGAATCTAAATAAAGAACATATATACACAGTATATATTTCTGGAATCGCACCGTACCTGCCACCACCGGCAGTGTGGAAGTGAAACCACCACCGAGGGAGCGGTGGCGCAGCGGTTAGCACACTGCTTTGTGAACCCGTCCTCACACGTTCAATTGCCGGCCACGGATATAATCAGTGGCGAGTGATATGTGAACCAGTCCTGGGTGTCCCCATTCAGTTTGCTAATCAAAATAACAAAAAGCTGTGGGCATTTTTTACCAACTTACGCCTGTTGGATTTGGGCTATGATACGTAGATATAAATCCCTCTGTTAATCAACTGCAGGATGAGGGCCTGTCCTCCTGTGTACATGATAATCAAGCTACTTGCTCCGTCGAGCTTAACAAATACATTGTCTCGTGATATGACGCCGAAATAGCAAAGATTAAAATTAATTGTGAGATTCCCAAATGAAGCCACTGGGTGGCAGTAATAAGCCAGAGTCAGGCGAGCCATTCAAAATATCAGTTTTCAGAGGCGTTAATTGGCAATGCACTGGCCAACATCCCTTGTAAAGTGGGGTTGTACCTCCTCTACTCGTTCGCCTAAGTGTCTCAATAGCGTGCCGTGCTAGGTGGAAATGACTCCTGCTGCTAATGAGCCTTTAATACTCGAATAACAACAATAGTAATCATGGTTTCTAGCCCTTAGTCAACCCACTGCTAGATGAAGGCCTCCCCGCGCCGTGTCGGTCAAGGGGGTTGAATATACTTCACCTCTGTGGTAGGTGTGAGTTGCTGAGGTCAGGGGGAGCGTGGGTGGGACGGATGAGCGGTTCAGATATTACTCGCCGCTGATGTTAGCCGTGGCTGAGAATCAAACCCAGGTACACGGGTGCATTGAAGGTAATGTTCCACATCTACCTTTTGGACGATGTTTCTCAACAATGGAATGATAACACGCACACGCACGTGACAGCTATTGGCGATGACAACGTGCGACGGCGTTTTGCGACTCCGACGGGAGGTTTGTGACGGCGATGCAAGAATCAACGTTGAACTTCTTTCGCACCGGGCGTAGCCGACCGCGCCAATCGGAGAGCGATGACGCCGACGCGGTGACATCGCAAGCTGCCGGAGAGGCTATCATTGCGATACCCGGTGTGTGTGTGTGTGACTATGTGTGACTCCAGTTTAAGAGCAGAGGTCTCACTCCGAATCAGGCGAGCGGCAATATCTTTTCATCGGTTGCGTAACGCTGTGTCGAAGCTACCTGGTCTGTCGCTCCGCACTAAGCTTCACGTCTTCTCGGCCACGGTCATTCTCTCCCTTCTCTACGCTTGCGAAACGTGGACCCCCCTAATGGAACATCTTCGCCGGTTAGAAACATTTAGGCTGGCCTGCCTACGATCCATCCTGGGTTTAACCAGGCTGGATTGTGTGAGGAGCTCACAAATCCTTGAAAGATCTGGGCAAGGTCGCATGGGTGAGCTCCTCCGGCGGGCAAGGCTGCGTTGGCTAGGTCATGTAGCCCGCATGCCCAGCCACCGCATGCCGAAACAGCTTTTGTTCGGCCGGATCGAGGGGGCTAAACGGGCGCGGCACGGGCTAGAGAAGAGATGGAGTGATGTGATACAGGAGGACATGGAGCTGAGTGGACTTGCCGATGACCGGTACCAGCGGTGTCAAGATCGGCCTCTGTGGAGGAGGCTCGTGAAGGACGCTACTGGGCAGTTGGAGGCAGTCGCCCTCCAACAACAACGGAGGGCGGAGGAGCGACGCTCACAACAACGAGCGGAGCGCCGGGTTGGTTAAAGCACAGCAGGTTGGCACAGTAGGGGGCACAGGTGGTGCATCAGCCAGTCATCTCAGTCAGTCGACCCGTGGCACCTGGGTCTGCCCCGTGACCTCCTGCCAGCGGGCGTTCGACACTTCACGTGGCCTCTAGGTACACATAGCCTGGCACAAGCGTCGTGGTGACGTCACCGCCACTTAGTGGCGAATGACGGTTGTTGTGAGTGTGTGACTGTGTGTGTGGCTGTGTGTGACTGTGTGTGTGACTGTGTGTGTGTGACTGTGTGTGTGCCACGCACGTGTGCTGATGATGCCGATGATGCTGCCGTGAACTCGGCTGTCGCGTCCCGTTATCCTCCGCGCTCCTGTGAGCCCGGGCCCATTGTCTCCGCTCCCCAATCATTGCCCGCTGCCTGCTCGCGCTCTCAATCAGTTATTTATTTATTACATTTCGTGGTGGCTTTTTAAATTCTCTCTCTTTCGCATCGCGCCGCACGTTTCCGATGCGATTCTCCCTCTCGCCGTTGGTTTGGGCGAGCGGAGAAGCGAGGAGGGGGGCGAAGGTCAGGATGAGAGGAGCCACTCGTCCACGCGGAACCCATCATACCCCCCCGCAACCCGCAATGATGGCTTGACATGCAGCGCCTGTAGTGCTGTGTCGGAGCTGATGGTCTTGTGTATCTAGCTAGCTGCTGCTGGCTGTAGTGCTGTGTCGGGGCTGATGGTCTTGTGTAGCTTGCTGCTGCTGCTGGCTGTAGTGCCGTGTCTGAGCTGATGGGCTTGTGTAGCTAGCTAGCTGCTGCTGGCTGTAGTGCTGTGTCGGGGCTGATGGTCTTGTGTAGCTAGCTGCTGCTGCTGCTGGCTGTAGTGCCGTGTCTGAGCTGATGGGCTTGTGTAGCTAGCTAGCTGCTGCTGCTGCTGGCTGTAGTGCCGTGTCGGAGCTGATGGGTTTGTGTAGCTAGCTAGCTGCTGCTGGCTGTAGTGCTGTGTCGGAGCTGATGGGCTTGTGTAGCTAGCTGCTGCTGCTGGCTGTAGTGCCGTGTCGGAGCTGATGGGCTTGTGTAGCTAGCTAGCTGCTGCTGGCTGTAGTGCCGTGTCGGAGCTGATGGGCTTGTGTAGCTAGCTAGCTGCTGCTGCTGCTGGCTGTAGTGCTGTGTCGGAGCTGATGGGCTTGTGTAGCTAGCTAGCTGCTGCTGCTGGCTGTAGTGCTGTGTCGGAGCTGATGGGCTTGTGTATCTAGCTAGCTGCTGGCTGTAGTGCCGTGTCGGAGCTGATGGGCTTGTGTAGCTAGCTAGCTGCTGCTGGCTGTAGTGCCGTGTCGGAGCTGATGGGCTTGTGTAGCTAGCTAGCTGCTGCTGCTGGCTGTAGTGCTGTGTCGGAGCTGATGGGCTTGTGTATCTAGCTAGCTGCTGGCTGTAGTGCCGTGTCGGAGCTGATGGGCTTGTGTAGCTAGCTAGCTGCTGCTGGCTGTAGTGCCGTGTCGGAGCTGATGGGCTTGTGTAGCTAGCTAGCTAGCTGCTGCTGCACGCTGCGCCAACGGCGTCCGTTGCCCGTGCCCGGGATGAGATCGCTCGCGAAGCAGCGTACGCGTGACTGTGCGCTGCAGCACGAGCAGCTGCACACCGCGCGCTGTCTGCGGCGGCGCGAGCCAGATGTCTGCCGCACGCGCTCGCCGCTGAATCGTAGAGACGTCCATCATCAACCCCGGCTCAGGGGCAGAGGGGGAGAGGAGCAGGGAGGCGGGGAGCGAGGCAGAGCAGGAGGAGCGGCAGGAGGAGGAGGAGGAAGCGCTGCGGCCCCAGCTGACGGTTGAGTCGTCACCGCCAGAGGTGGTTGTGGTGGCGGAGCGCAGAGGAATGCGCGGCTCGGGCTGGTGGAGGCGCAGGCGGTGGTGGAGATGGAGGTGCTGGACGTGGAGTTTTCGGTGGCCTCCGGGCCGCGTGGGTCCGTGGCCCCGCGTGGCGTCCCCGACGTGGCAGGGGTACGCGCTGGTGGCTCTGCTCGCCGCGCTCGCGTACGCCAACAGCCTGCAGGGGGACTTCGTGCACGACGACCTCCTGGCCATCGTGGGCAACCCGGACGCGCAGCCCGGTGCCCCGCTGTCTCGTCTCATGGGCCACGACTTCTGGGGCAAGAGCATGAGGTCGCCCACCAGCCACAAGTCCTACAGACCGTTCTGCGTGCTCACATTCAGGCAAGCCTCTCTCTCTCTCTCGCAGTGTGTTCAACTCATTATCCCTGCTCGGTTGTGGTCAGACGGTCCCCCGTTTGCGGGATTTGCCAGCTGTCATCATCATCATCACGATCCATGATAGCCCCGTAGGTGTCCACTGGACATTTCGGCATTTGTTTCCACTTTCCTCCTCCGTCTTGCACCAATATGCTCAAGTAGTGGACATCGTTCTGGCACCAACCTCTTGTGTTCTCTGTTAGGTCTTCCTCTCTCTCCGGATCCTTCCATCTCTGTGCCGTGCTAATCGCCGTTGCCAATTAGTGTGGTGATTGGCGAATGGGTGAGACGTGTGCGGAGAGGAAGACCCAGTCTCCTCGACCAGATGATGGCTGTCATGCAGATCAACCCGTGTCCTCACCCACCTCGTACCACCCATATTTTAACCAGCAGTGGGTAACCCTCTTTCCTTTCCGAATGACTTTTAAATACCTCTGGTGGGACCAACCAATGACACACACACACACACCTCAGTCTCTTCTGGAGTGACTGAACATGCCAACATAAACACAGTGTTGTTGCCATCTTGCCAACACATTCACCTCTAGTACCTGATTAAGTGCGGCTAAGATGATTGCAGTGACGGATGAATATCATTCATGAGCCACCTCAAAGCGATAGGCCCCGTGTGGCCGCGGGGCTGTGTTAAATGAAGTCGCGGGTTTCTTTCGACCCGCGAGCCGTTGGTTCTCCAACCCCGTTTTTAGACCGTCGGATACACACACCCGCCGACACACTCATCGTCACCCCTCATCCCTGTCACCCTCACCCATCGTTTTAGCCGGTTCTCACCCTGTCCGCAAACACAGACCTCCGCTAACCCAGCCTGAGCACACCCACACTCGCATACGCTACCACGCCGGTCAGTATGGTGCAGTGTAGAGGGATAGAGGGGACAGAGGCAAGAGCAGTTCGCAAATCACTTGCCAATGATGTTAGCCGTGGCCAGAGATCAAACTCGGGTCAACAGGTTCAGAGCACAGCGCGCAATGCTCTAACACTAACAGCCACGAATCCAATTCCTCACCCTTTCTGTTCAACACCGCCTAGCTCATTCACTCCCCTCACTGGTCGTCATCTTCCCTCACCCAGCACAGCACTCTGCTCGTCTGTGATCACTCATCCGTTGTATCACACATGCAAGTGCGTCGAGCATCCCGCTCATTAGTTTAAACAGGCAGGGGAGAAAGTTTGCATTCGATTTCCATCATCGAGAGCCATGAGACTCAGCGAGGCTCTCCTAGGCCACCCAGCATAATAATAATAATTTTAAAAGGTACAAAAATAATTGATCGACGGTCAGCAACCACGCGCGTTATGCACTGCAATGCGATGAGAGTGCTTTGCTGCGCGCCTCCCCAGCCTAATTGGTCACTTCGTGGAAATTAGTTTAGCGATGCCCGCACGCTGACACTGCTCGAGTGGTGGTGGTGTTACAGTCGGGAGCATTGCACACGCAGCACATCGCGGTTTGTGGCACGCGTGCACGGGATGAGAGCCACACCAATGTCTTATCTATTTACGCTCAGTTCACATGCCCGGGGGAATTGCTGACAGTAATGTTCATCTCACACGCCACGACTGTTATTTATTGGAGGGGGGGAGGGGGACGAGAGGATACCGGGAAGGTCAAGGTCAATAGGTCATCAGGACCAATGCCGTTGATTCCATCACAGGGCCCATCACTCCGTTCTGCCAGGTCCCACGTGTTCTTGTTAATTAATCGCAGCGTGTAATCCACGGCTGCGATGTGGATTCTAGGTCATGTAATGCATGGAACAATTGAGATTGAAACGGGTTTTGAAGCCGCTACTCATCTGGTAGAATAGAAAAAACACGCATACATATATAACGATGAAGACTTCACAAATACTGTACTGGCATTGTTTTTACTCCTACATATATACGGGAAGCATTGATCCATGGACATCGGAATGACAGGATATAGCACAATAGTCACTGTATCCTGTAGTAAACTATTTTTCCCCATTGGTTAAATAAGTTCAAAGCTAGCCTTTGAACCCTATTCGTAATGTAACGAATTCTCCGGAATATAAGACGCACCCCCGAACGTTGTGCCCGGTGTCAATAGCGTTATACAAATCTCGTAGCGTAAAATAAAATTAATGAAAACAACTAAATTAAATCACGACGTTTCGGAGGCAACACAAGACGGAAGCTTGCCTACGTGACTTTACCGAAAAAAGAGTATGAATCCTTGCAGTCACGAAAGCTTCAAATCTAGAATTATACAAATCTGATCGCTCACGCACACCGACTTGGCTACACGTGAACCCCCAGGTGTTTACTTTGAGAATACAGCGGGAAACGTAAATCTTATGATACACTGTACAAGAGAATATGGTATATCATTATCATTTAGACCGGTAGACGTTAAATGATGTGAGCATTTCCTCTCTCAAATTATCTGTGTAGAATAATCCCGTTCAAAAGAATGGGCCATTGTCTACTGGTGGTGAACTGGAAGCGATTGAAATTAAACAAAGCTGCCCAAAGGAAATGAGTGGATGATGGAGTCGACGTTAAATGCGAAAAAATCCCAAATTTACCTTCACGATTCCTGCCTCGATATTCCCTTCAACAAAACCCCTCTATTTTGTGTACGCACAACCTCGGAGCCAACCACATTATACTTTTTTAAACGAATACAATAAAAACATGGGCGGTTTTTTGTGTCGTCACTGAAGTTCCTGTGTCTGGAAGAAATTACTATTATCCCGCTGTGAGAATTCATCAGTCCAACCTGGACCCCATTTACCGAACTGAGAGCCAAATGGATCACTGTCCAGCCAGTTTTACCCTTCCGGAACCCACTATCCTATTTGGGAACATTTCCCTCCCATATATATAAAAAAAGAAACCTTCTAGAATCAACCATCAAACCTTATGTTACAGTATATGATCCGTTATTAATTATGAATCGACTCACGGGAGATGGCGCAGCCGTGCTCTTTAGCAATCCCAACTACAACATTTCCAGTGCATACACATTGCATACAGCGTTTTTTTTTTCTAATCAGAATCAGAATCGCAGAATTGCCTTTGATCTTCGGTGCGTCCCTTTGAGGTGCGCCTGCTCTTCCCCCAAAGAGCAGCGCTTCTTCTCTATACAGAGTGCAGTGCTCTGCGATGTGATGCCGTGATCAAGGGCAGTGGCACGGCAGGGAGAGGAGGAAGCTGCACCCAAAAGGGAAGCAGATTTTAGCTGTTGCTGTTGTTGGCGACTGTCGGGGGGGAAAAAAAACCCCCGGCCCTTTAGGGGCGGAAAGCGATGACCCACAACCCCTCAGGCCAAGTCCGGTCCACTTCCCGCGGATGATGGGACGCCGTCATCGTCACGCGAATTCCCGCTGGTCATCCTCGCAGCAGGCATCGGCTTGCAAGGGAAAGCCATTGAACAAAAACGGCGGCCACCGCATCGCGCGGCGCTTTCAGGCGCGCTTCTGCGGCCGTCTGGAACGCTCTTCCTTCCGATGTGAGGAAGTCGCTGGGAGCAATGCACCTTTAAATATAGATTGAAATCTCATTTTCTTAGAACTCCGGTTTTTTTAAAAGTTTGTCGTTCCCCCGCACCTACGATGAGCGCGGTTGGCTACGTACGGTGGTCCGACGCCAAATTAATGAGATGTCAACCTCGCCCGATGTGTATTGTTTGTAGAAATGAGTGAGCTCTCGATCCGTTTTGAAGCAGGTAAGCGACATTTATTTGATTTAAATAAAATATACGTTTTGAAATTATTCGAATAGGAAGAAATCCACGTGATATCAAACGTCTTGAGTTTATAGGTGGTCCTCCGGCATTCTCTAAATATTTGGGGCCCGAGTCCACACCGCAAAACAACGTGGATTTTAATTAAAGAGCAGTTGCGAGACTGCCTGGGATGTTGGGAGTGGTGGCGCAGCGGATAGCGCGCTGCGCTACGCAGCCGGCGACCCGACTTGAAATCCCGCTCACGGCCAACATCACTGACGAATATTTGAACCGGTCCTCGGAATCCCCCTAACTCAACTGAGCCTCAAATAAGTACCTCGTGCGTTATGTAAACATCAGCACTGGGGAGACAAAAGCGGCCGGGCGTGGTACTGGCCTCACACACCCGCATCGTGTGCCGTGCCGGCCTTCGTAGGTGCTCGCTAACAGCACTTGCCCTAACAGCCTGTTAAAGGCTGTACGGGGGGTCTTTATCTCTATTGTACGCACCTCGCTGTACAGGGAATGAATATAACCACGGGGGGGATAATGTGACAGCTGCTTCTCCGTTCGACCGACAACATGTGTGCGTGTGTGTTTTTGTTCTATCAATAAACAACAAAAATAAAACATTTACAAAGCAACGCATTTACGAAAGCCTGTTCTCTTACTTTGTGTCCCTGGGGGAATTGTGCTGTGGTGGCGGCGTGATGATGAAGAGGTGGCGTCGTCATAGCACGTCCTGTAAGAGTTGCGCCTCTGCCAACTTTCATCTCCTGGCTCGTTCTGTCAAGGTGACTGGCCTCCTGGCTGTCGGGGCAGGCCCTGGCAGAGCCAAACATTCACACATCCTGTTCCTTGGCCTCAGTGATAAAAAGCCCCCAAAAAACTCCTGCCAGTAACCCACCCATATTCAGGGGCTACTACGGCCCTAGATTTTACATGTTTAAACGAGTCTCTTTTAAAATCTGATTTAATTTCAAGTACTGTCAAGTATTTGGCTAAATCGTGTCCGTGTGTCGCACTGGATAGAACGCCAAGTCGGGGTGCGTTGGCCGTGTCGATATCTCTGTGAACGCGCCCTCACGACGTCTCCAATGGCCTGCTTTTTCTTAAGTTTTCTGCAACCCCCTTTGAAAGGAAAATAAATCAGTATCTTCTAGGTTGTTTTTTTTTACATCCAGCATGGTGGTGGGGAGGGAGGAATAATCTCTGCGAGTCTTGTGGGAACCTGTAACCGATTCTGCAAATGATTACCGATTCACAGATCAGTGTTTAACAATATAAAAAAAACTCTACATTTGATGACTGGTCTTACAGAGCCATTTGTTTTTATATTCTTTGACTACCCTCTCAAAGAGACTACTGTATAAGCAGATTAGTTTTTTTTAACGACATAGTTCTGAACATGACCTTCGACATTGACATTCCTTCTCAATTCAATTATTTTCTAACCCCGACCTGTGAGGCAGACCCTAATCCCCATATTTGTTTTGTATCGGATTCCGCCAGTTATTTGTGTAGGAAGCTGGCATTTGCCAGGATGTGCGGTATTATCCGGATTATTAGACACGCGATGTTTTCCCCGTGTATATCTAAAGCCACAGTTAGGGGTGCGTCTTATAATCCGGTAGGTATGTGTGTGTGTGATTAGTATCACGTTATTGACACTGGGCACAATTTCGGTTGTGCATCTTCGTTTCCGGAGCGTCCTATAATTCGGTAGCTCTGGAATTATCACCGCCGCGGCAGAGGCACAATGGCAACACTTGTGTCTCATGGCAAGAAGTTTCCTGGGTTCGATTCCCGACTCGGGCGCCTTTCTGTGTGGAGTTTGTATTTTCTTCCCCGGCCCCATGTCCCCTGTCCTGCACCAGTTTCCTCTGGCTACTCTAACTTCCTCCCATAGCTAAGCAAATCCCTCCCAACGCTAGCTAACTTACAGGTTGCTCAATTGGGATTACAGTACACACAGTAGCAGCAACATCATCGCCCCGACTGCGAAAACTTGGCAGGACCCTCCTGCAAAGAGAGCATCTTGAGACTCAGTAAGGCTTTCCTGGTTAAGCAAGTGTAGTCGTGATAATACATCATAATGATGTGTTTGACACGTAGGCTTTCGTGACCAATATTATTCAAAATACATATTTTTCTCTTGGGTTAGATCGCGTAAATATAAATGTGTTATTAACCCACCACCTGGCACAGCCAATTAGTAAGGTTTGTCACTTACTAATTTACACGCTCTAAGCCCCCAAAAAAACAACTTTATTACGAACAATGACGTGTCCCGTGTGTGGCTGCTCACGCAGGCTGAACGTGTGGCTGGGCGGGATGCACCCCTGGGGCTTCCACGTGCTCAACGTGTGCCTGCACGCCGCCACGTGCGTGGCGTTCGCCGGCTTCGGCCGCTCCGTGCTGTGGCCCCCCGCCGAGCGGAGCTTGCCCGGCGCGCCCTGGCTCGCCGCTGCCCTCTTCGCGGTGCACCCGGTGCACACGGAGGCGGTGGGACACGCAACCCGCTAGGCCACCCACCCACCAACTCACCCACCCACCACCAACCCACTCATCCGCACAACAACCCACCCGCCCACCCGAGTTGAGTCGTGGTAGAGGCCAAGTCAGAGGCGAGCCGTGACTAAAAACATTGGGCCCCCTTCTGCCGGCAGGTGTCGGGGATCGTCGGGCGCGCGGATGTTCTCGCCTGCCTCCTCTTCCTCGCCTCCTTCTGCGCGTACGTCCGGTGAGCGGCAACCGCGGGTCCCACCGCTGTCTCCGTGGTTCACCTCCCAGGCCTTCTTCACGTCCTCACCAGCAAGACCGAGCAAAAATAAACTCACATTTGATGTCGGCCTGTCTGACCGAGGCTGGACGGTGGCTACGTCAAATAGAGTTCAGCTCTTCAAACAGCGCTGACCTTTCTGACCTCGGTGCTGCTGCCCCTTCCCAGCCTACGTAGCATTCCCCACATACGTGACCTTAATGTATTGTCCTTCACACACGCTGCACCTATGGCCCTCTTTTTGGGTTCATAGTGACATTGCTACGAATCACATTTCCCAAGACTCAGCCATAGCGATGTGGAATTTCAACCAGAGGCTCAGTGCACCAGAAGCGATGAGTGTGAGTACAGAGGCGCAATGAGAATGTGTGTTGTTGTTGTTGTACCAATGGCCGATCCAAGCAATCCATCCCAAGCCCTAACCCCTTGGCAAGCCTTGGTCAGGGCGAAGCATCTGACTGCTACTGCGTCCTTGTGTGTGTTTGTGTAATGTATGCACGTTGAACTTCTTTCGGACCGTACGTAGCCAACCGTGCTAATTGGAGGTGCGGTGTTGAGTCCATGGGCGGTGTTGAGTGTATGGTTAGTGATAGTCTATAGGCAGTTTTAGTCTATGGGCAGTGTGTGTGTGTGGACGTTGAACTTCTTTCGCACCGTACATAGCCAACCGTGCTAATCGGAGGTGCGGGAACTCTCGCAGGAGTGTGGGCGCGCAGGGCACGGCCACCGGTGCAGGCTGCTGCTGCTGCTGCAGTCGCCGCCGCCACTGCTGCCCCGTCACGGAGTCCCCCGGGCTGCTGGCACTGTCGCTGCTGCTAGGAGGAGCGGCGATGCTCGTGAAGGAGACGGGGGTGACGGCGCTGGGCGCCGCGCTCGCCTACGACGCTCTCGTGCTGAGCCGCCTGCCACCGTGTCGGTGAGGGTGACGACATCACAACCGGGGATGCCTGCCTACATTATCATCATCATCGGCAACAACATTAGCAGCAGCAGCATCATCAGCATCATCATCATCAGCATCATCATCATCCAAGCCTCCCTTCCTCACACCCTCCAGCCCCACCGCTCCGCCAGTTGGATCTCTCTGGTCGTTATGGAAACAGTCAGCTGTGCACAAATGAACCACAAAGTATTGCTGATCTCGTCAAAGAGCATACACCATCACGCTCGCAGCAGATGTTGGCCAACCATTGAACACAAACGGTGAGCGCCATCGCACGCTCTCTGATGCGATCCTGCGGCCGTCCGGAACGCTCTTCCTTCCGATATTAGGGAGCCACTGGGGAGCTGTGCAATTTTAAAATCTCGATTTGCGTTTAGTTTGTTGGCCTTACCCCGCACCTCCCATTAGCACGGTTGGCTGCAAATGTCGCGGAAGAAGTTCAACTTACACACAACCGTAAGAGCTGAGAGATGGTGGAGGGCAGCACGGCACGGTGTCACGTGGAGAGGTTCACGCCACTGCTGCCCCCACTATTTGCCCACGCCAAATAACAAAACCTTGTTCCTCTCTCTCCTCTGTCTTGAAACCCCTTACCTGATGCTCACAGAGAGAAGGAGACGGCGTGGCATACGGGACGGAGCTGGGACCTGCTGCACGGCTACAAGCCGCTTCTGAAGCGCGGAGCGGTCACCGTACTCTGGGTGAGTGCAGCATTCCCCTTGCAGCAGTCTTCATAGCCCGGGTGAATGAGGGCAGTAGCCCTCTAAGTCACTGTGTGTCGAACGCACACAACGCCATCCTCATCATCTTCTGCGTCATCATCATCATCATCCCCGTCGTCGATCCACGTTCCCAAGTTTTTACGGACTTTATTCAAACTCAAATTGTTTGTGAGTACTGCAAACGTCCGTGCCAAAATCCTCGAGCCTATCCCCACGGTCCACCATGACAGTGCAGTGTAAGACTTTTCAATTATGGTTGAAAGCGTAAATGTATTAGCTGTGTCCGTCTTTTCTGTCTGTAGCGGGGGGGGGGGGCACACACTCAGTTGAAGAAACGGTTTACCTCTGTCGCTGGCCGCTTGGTGCTTTGGATTTAAATCTTATATGTATAGAGAACCTCAGCTCAAGGCTTTCTGTAACATAGTTTTTAAAAAATCGCTCAAAGACACCCCTCTAGAACAGATATAGACGGGCCCCGGAGAAACGTATGAAAGGGTTTAACAAAATGTTAAAAGGCCACATGTAAGTTATTTATTGTCGGGGGTAGTTAGGTTACACCCCCCTCCCTTTTTCCCAAATTACCCCCCCTCCCCACTCCACCACCCCCCTTCCCATGTCAGAGGAACTCCTCCTCCTCCCCCCCTCCTTGTAACACCCCACAGAAGACGTCCGCAGACCTCACGGAACCCACAGGTTACCCTGACCACATGTTGGCTCATGCGGGAACGTCGCTTGGAACCCCCCCCGTCCCGCACCAATCTCTGCCTTGAAAATATGAACCACGATATGCGCTGTGACGGGCCTGCGAGTTGTTTTGTTGAAATACAATTATATATATAAAAAAAAAACTATCGTGAACAGAAATCGAGCGATTTAGATGGCAGGGATAGGTGCAAGGGCCGAGGAATGAAGTGACCGTGACATAGAGCACGTGAGGGGGTCACGGAAGGGGAGGGACGAGACGGAGTGGAGGGGGGCGAGGAGAGGGAAGAGGAAGGGAATGGGCAATGGAGAAGAGGTGGTCTGTGCTCAGGAAACTGTGATTTCAAAAAAAAATCGGTAATGAATTCCACGTGTGGCCCATGGCGTGATCTGCAATAAGAGCTCCCAACACTACGACAAAATCTTTGTTTTGTATTTTGCCCCAAGTGTCGTGGTAAAACGCCCGGTTATGTTTTCAACTGCTCTTCATCGAAACTGAGACCTAACGAATGCCATTCGACTGGACAACCATACCACCAGTGGGTTTGTTTTACGCATATTCAAAATCCACGTGACGTAAAGGTGAATGCGACAATGCTGCAGAACGTCTTTCACAGACGCGCTGACATGACAGAATACACAATTTGGTAATTATCTCACTTTACGTGATATTTACTCTCTAAAGTTGGTAGAAAGTAGGAGAAAAAAAAAACCTTCCCACCGTACCAGTAAATAATTTGAGAAGAAAGAGCAGGGGAAGGAGATGTTTTGCGTGCTTGATGGAAGTGGCCACTGTACCGGAGCTGGCGTGGGGTAGCACATTGGATGAAAGACGCAAAAAAAACTAAAGAGGGGGTTGGGGGGAAATGCTATCCTAACGTTTTATTGGCAGGGCTTTTTCCCCCTACTGATGTTTTGGTCTGGAGATTGTGCGCTGAAAGCAAACACTGCTGGCTGTTGCTGGTGGCGGCGTTGGGCGCGCGTGCTGTTTGTTCCTGCGACACGGCCAATGCCAAGGGGAGATTGTGAGCACATGCCTCGCAACGCACAGCAGTGTGCAGGCTTTACGCTTTGTGGAACGTTGCATAAGAGAGAGAGAGGGAGAGGCGGTGGATTAGACGGCACTCTGAATAGAATGGGTTGGTGGCAACCCAGGAAAGTTGGTTTCAGAGGCCGCGCTTTTGCTTATGGGACTCCCAGACCGAATGGGACTCGGTTTGTCAGAGTTAACAAATGCCGCTTCAAACAAAAGCTGTGATCCAGAAGGCCGAGAGACTGACGGATGAACAAGACTCAGGGAAAGAGACTCTTGTCTATGCATGGTTTTATTACCCTTAATTAAGTGGTGCCGCAGTGGCAAGATGTTAACTACCTCACCTGGTGCACAGGACCTGGCTTTGATCCTGACGCCTGTATATTTGGAGTTTGCATATTCTCTCCGTGGTCGCGTACGTTTTTCTCCGTGTCCTCCTGTTTTTCCCTCCACATTTAGAATCAATCTGTGTGTAGAGTATTTGGCTGCTATAATTTTCCACGTTATAAGCCACTTCGCTGGGATTTCATTTGTGGCCAGGTCGCTTTTGAAAAAGAGCTAAAAAGCTTCTTGGACCTTACCTGGCAAACTAACGACTAGTTTCGTTGTATTAAGGCTATGATTATGGCTAATACAGGGTATGGAGGAAAAATGTCTTGACATAAAAGTCACCGTGCAATTTTTAAACAACCATAGCCCTCGCCCCCTCCCACAGCTGGTGCTGCTGCTGGCGTTCCGTCTGGCCGTGATGGGGGCCAAGCTACCAGCCTTCATGGAGCAGGACAACCCGGCCTCGTTCAGCCCACACCGCCTCACCAGGTGACGAGGAGGAGATCTGTCTGTGGTGTGTGCGCCAAAGCGCTTTACCTGCGATTCAGTTTCAACACTCGTTCCGTCATTCCATCGCAGGCGAACTTCACCTGCAGAAGGTGGAGGAGGCGTGACGGGAGCTTATATAGCTCCAGGGCAGTGCCATGATTTCGGATGTGTCATCCAATTTAAAGATGTGGGCAATCAGTGGTATTTAGTGTCATCATTATGTGGATTTTTTTTCTTGGACATGTATACCGAGCAGTTAGAGCTATAATTCATCTGGAAATAAACTGTCACACATTTTTTGATGAACGCTGATGAACTACCACGGCATTGGAGGTACTCAGAGAGAACTGAGTTTTTTTTTATCAATGCTGGGATGCTGATGGAATGTTCAGTTTCCGTGTGTGTGTGTATCAAACCATGAACTTATTCCATAAATAAGCATTTTATGAAACTGTACATAATCCCCCTCGAACTGGCGCGTACGGTTGTAATGATTGTCCGTGGGGTTAGCATCATTTGTGAAACTACCCTCCAATTTAAAAACAACAACAATGTGTTCCTCGAGCCGGCTCTAAGCAGAAACAACGCGCTTAATGCAAAGATTAAGAAGGGGGTTGTTTTGTGCAACTCATTTAAAATTGTTGGGTTTTAATTTATTTTCGCCCCTTCGCTGTGCAACAACAACTGCTCCGTGACGTAACGTATGCATGTTGTTCACGTGCATTGGGCTTCTTGAAATATTGAGTCTTGTACCGAATTCGAATTTTTTTTGCCTTCTTGTGATTTTGATTGCCGACCCCCTGGCCTTATACAAACAATGACGCAAGCGCTGCGCTCTGAACTTGGCGGACTGAGTTTGATTCGCCGTCATGGCCAGTGGTCACATCTGAACCGGTCCTGAACCCCACCCCCCGCTGACCACCACTGACCAGCGTGGTCAAGTTTGGTTAATAACCCTGCACAACAGCCATGGCCATGGGGGGGGGGGGCCTTCAACTAGCGGTGGATTCAAGTTTACTTTGTTTAACCAGCTGAGAACTCAACAAACAAGGTTGTGGGTAGTCTCATTTACGAGAGTGGATTGACTAAGGACTGTGAGCCTGTCGCGTATTCACACTTTCAAGTGATGTAACGGGCGTTTGTGGTGTGGGTTCCTGACTTACTCTGGCCTGTGCAGGTAAGCTCAGGTGACCGCAGGCATGATGACCACAATGCACACTTTGAGGAACTGCTGACGGGTTTTTTATTTTGCATTATGCACAGAGCCCATGCGCCATTTAGACATTTTTGCATCTTGTTTTAAAAGCTGTGGTATTCCAGCCTGCGCTATTTTTCCATTACGGTGTGGTTTTATTCTCGTTGTTGACAGATTTCACTTAACACGTGACTGCTGCTGCTGTTGTTGTGTGTTTGGTCGTTGTGGTGGTGATGTCGGGTTCGCAGGTTCCTGACCTACTCCTACCTGTGCGCGCTCAACGCGTGGCTGCTGCTGTGCCCACGCACGCTCAGCTACGACTGGCAGGCTGGCAGCGTGGAGCTGCTCACCTCGGCCCGCGATCCGCGCGTCCTCGCGCCCACGGGCCTGGCGCTGGGCCTGGGCATCATCGCCATGCGCTGCGCTCGCACTCCGCAGGTATCAAATCCGTACACGGCGAGCGACGGAGAAAGATTCCCCCGTGTAGCGTGAACGCCGCGTCGCCCATCCACCCCAACCGCACCACGTCCCACATCCACCGCCGTACATGCATCCCGTGTACGTGCGACCTGTGCACGTGCGTCTCCCGCGTGTTCCTCCCGCATGTGCGCGCGTGCGTAGGTTGAGAGCGGTCAGTGGAGCAGGTTAGTGTCGGGATTAGCACGCTGCGCTACGAACCCGGCGACCTGGGTTCGATTCCCGCTCGCGCCCGACACCGGTGACGGTTGTCTGATCTGAACCGTTCCTGGGTCTCCCCTAGGTCGACTCGGTCTCAAATGAGTACCCGGTGCGGTGATAAAAATTCGGTCGGGCGTGGTTTGCTGGCCAACCACCCCCTCGCGTGTGCCGTGCCGGCCTTCATAGGTGCGGCTCGCTAACAGCGCTTGCCCCAACAGTCTTGTTGAAGGCTTTTCGGTGGGGTGGTGGGGGGATTTTTCTCTTTGTTTTCTTGCGTGCGTGCCTAGGTGGAGGAGCGCCGGGTTCTCACGGCGGGCCTGCTGCTCCTCGTGCTGCCGTTCCTCCCGGCGAGCAACCTCTTCTTTCGCGTCGGCTTCGTGATGGCCGAGCGCATCCTCTACTTGCCAAGGCAAGGCCTTTTCTCTCTCAAATAAAGAAAGCCGTGGCATTCCGGTGCGTGACCTCCGCCGAATCGGAGTGACCCGCACCTCCGATTAGCACGGTTGGCCACGTACGGTCCGAAATAAGTTCAACACACCTTCCTGTCCAGGCAATGTTTTCACCGTCAGGTAACCGGGAGAAATTAATTAAGTTATGCAGGCTTGCACAAACCAAGGGTGGCGGGAATGTCACGTTTAAATTCTTACCACGGGAGGCAAAAGTTGCCTGGGCACGTGGGAATTCCCTAACGAGTAAGCGGCCAGCGGTTAGATGATGCGTTTTCATTGTCCGCAAAAAGCCAGAGGCGCCAATATTAATTGCAATTCACCAGCCTTTCCCAAAATCCGATCAAATTGGCTAGCGTGCAGGAGCTAGGAGGATCGTTTCGACCGTTCGTCGCAGGATTGCAAGAGACGGCGGCGGCGGCGGTGGCTTGGTGAGGCCTTCATCCAGCAGTGGGTTGAGAAGGCTGCTGCAGTTTATGACATTATCGTGCTTGGGATTCGCCCGTGTGGCTGAGTGTCAAAGCCGCTGCTGAGCATTCAGTCGCTCGCAACGACGTCTCGATGCAAGCGACTGCAGTGCTCAGCCCAGGCTGTGGATCGTTGTTGTGGTTGTTGTAGTTGAATTCGTTGTTGTGTGTGGGGCTGCGTGGTGGGGAGGGTTTATTTATGCCCCGTGGCGGTCGGCCGTGGTGGTGGTGGTGCTGGCGGACCTCCAAACCGTTCGGAATGTCTGGCATTTCCCCTTTTCAAGCCCCCCCCCCCATTCACCACAGCGTGATTTCACGTTCCCCAATTTCTCCATAACCCGGTCACGTCAGCTCTGCCTCATCCACTCATTCCCTCAGTCATTCAGCCGCTCGTTCACCGATTCACTCGCTCATAACACAGATGCACGTGAGGCAGTCTCTACACGAAACAAATACGTGGACACTTCGCCACCTTCGTAAATATGTCCCTCCGTATAAAAAAAACACACACACACAATTATATTTCACACATCCCATCAGTCAGACGACAGTCTGGGAACGGCGTAAATGTTGTGAAGAGAGAGTGAGCGAATGATCTGATCCCTTTAGAGGCCCCTTGCAACAAAGTCATTGTTTTGGGATCTGCAACAGCCTGGGAGATAAGAGGGCATTACGGGGGAGGCGAGGCAGCGGAAGGTGTGAGAGAGACGCATGATTAGCGGGGTGACATCTGGCAGCAAATGCGTCAAGCTAGCCCTAACTGTTGATGAGTTACTGTGTGTTGAAACCGGCCCAGGGTTCGCTTGAATCGATGCTGCTGTAATTGTACACTCCCAGAAGGCACTGGGGGGGGGGGGGGGGGGGAGGTCGGCGATGGGTTGTGTAAGGATTGCCTTTATTTATGTTGGGGAGTTATGGAGACGTATTTATTTCGTGACTTATTTAGCTGCAGTCTTTGTGCCTCCGAACGTGCGCAATGTGTCACGTGAGCAGAAATGAATAAAACCAACAAACATGCGCCTGAGGGATACAGTCCTATACAGTCATCAATCATTACCCCTACCTCCCCCTCTCCCTGCACACACAATCACACAGCACAGAGACAAAGATCCCCCGTATAGCCTTAACAGACCAGTGGGGCCAAGTGCTGTTAGCGAGTAGCACCTATGAAGGCCGGCACAGCACACGAGGGGGTGGCTGTTCAGCACCACGCCCGGCCGCCTTTGTCTCCCCAGTGTCAATGTTTACTATACACCGCACCAGGCACTCATTTGAGGCTGAGTCGACCTAGGGGAGGCCCAGTATCGGTTTAGATAATCATCACTGGTGTCGGCCGTGAGCGGGAACACATTTTTTTCATAACGCAGATGCGAATTGGATGTAACGCGATCGAGTAAACAGAGCTACGTCGCAACGCGAGAAGGAAAAAGCGGTCGTACGGCTGCCTCGGCGTAGCATCGCACAGGGCGGGATGCTGCTGGATACTTCTAGATGCCACCCACGCGCCCTCAAGTCTTTGTTCAGCCTGCGCGCGCGCATCTCGCGTCTTATCGCGGCCCCTTGCTTTACCCTACATCGACGCAGCGCGAGCCTTCCCACAACGCGGCGTTCCTCGGGAACGCAACAGCGCAGCCGCGTCACGTGTGAAGAGCAGACTCGCGATCTCGTGTTGCGCCGTTTCACCCTCCTGCCCTGCTCACAGCATGGGCTCCTGCCTGCTGGTGACGCACGCGCTCACCTCGCTCTACCTCCGCGCGGGCGCGCGAGCCCGGCCGCCCGTCGCAGCGGCGGCGCTCTGCCTGCTGGCGCTCTTCGCCGCCAAAACTCTGCAGCGCAACCAGGTGTGGAGGTCCCGCGAGGCCCTCTTCAGGTGAGCGAGCGCTCCTCCTCGTCCCGATCCTCCTGCTCACGGCCAACACCAGTGACGGTTATCTGAACTGGTCCTGGGCCTCCCCCGCGTCAGCTCAGCCTCAAATGAGTACCTGCTGCGATGTGCAGACATCGCCACTGGGGAGACAAAGGCGGCCGGGCGTGGTGCTGGCCACCTTCTTTCTCGTGTGGCGTTCCGGCCTTCATAGGTGTTCGCGAACAGCACTTGTCCCAAAACGTCTACTAATAAGGCTACGAGGGGGGATCTGTGTCTTTGTGCGCACGGGTGCAGGTCGGGTGTGGAGACTCTGCCACACAATGCCAAGGCGCATTACAACTACGCCAACCTCTTACGGGACAAGGGCGAGACGGAGCGCGCACGACAGCACTACCGGGCTGCCCTCAGGTACAGACCGCAGCACACCTGTGCACGGTCGCGCACCATCCCGCGTCTGCACTCGGCTACACAAACCCGTCGCGGGGGCAACTCTGTGAACGGTGGGGGGAGCGGGGGGAGCGGACACAACAGGGCGATATTAAATGTTGACTGCGTATAAGCTGCGGAAGCTGGCAGAAGGAAAGAAGCAATGACGGAGTGTGGGGACATCGAGAGGATGAGTGCCTCCCCAGCCGCTTCCCACCCGCTCCGAGCATCTGCCCGTGAATGGGGAGGTGAATGCGGAGTAAACGAGGAGTGAATGGGAAGCGATTGGAGAGTGAATGGAGAGCGACTGAGGAGTGAAAGGGTAGTGAACGACGGGGGGGGAGGGGGGGGGGAAAGGAGAGTGAATGAATAGTGAATGAGTGAATACAGAGAAAAATAGAGCGGATGATTTATCCCGTAGCTATCCCGAGAAGCCAAGATTGATGACTCGGCACATTGTCAGGGCACGGAGTGAGAGCGGTCGCTGTGAGAATCCTCCTCCGACAACCCCCATGCCCGAATGACGGCACAATCTGTTTTATTGCCCAGCTGCGTCCGTACCCTGGACTATAACTAAATCTTCTGGAAATGACATTTCAAGTCCGCGTCGCGTCGCGTCGTGCCCATGTAGTAGCTGCTCGCATGTCACTTTGCACTCTGCGGTGCCCGGGTACGCGCGCGTGCCAACGAACCCGTGTGCCCGCGTGAGCGTCTCGCTCGAGCGTTTCGCGTACGCACGGCTGTCCTCCTAACCACCCCCCCCCCCCTCCTACCACCCCTGTATCCCCGTCGCCCGCTCGCGATCGATCGCAGCCTCTGCCCGGGCCACGCGAGTGCGCTCAACAACCTGGGCACGCTGGCTCACGAGCTGGGCCACGCCGAGAGCCTCTACAGACGCGCGCTCGCCGCCGCGCCCACGCACGCCGGCGCCATGTTCAACCTCGCCAACCTGCTCAGGTGACCATCTCGGCGGTTGCGCCAGCGGGGAGGGTGAACGCTTCTCGGCAGTCCGCTAACCCTTTCCCATTCCGATGACGTGCGTGTACGTCGCCAGCTTCTCTTCCCATTCCGTTCTGGTGACGTATGTGATAAACGCAAATAAAATAACTTTACCTGGTACCGAGGCTCCCGCGAGGTCATGCGGGAGGGCGTGCGGTACAGTTTGGCGCCAGCTGTCATTGAGCGCGGTCGTGTTGCTACAGTTCTCTGCGGTGAGTACGATGTCTTTAAAAACAGCAGCGCATGGCTTCTCTAAATGAAATTAACGCGAACCACTTATGCGTTCCGAGATTCAGCGGTGAACGGGACACCCAACCTGCAACTTGCAGACGTCTCGAAACAGGAAAGGGTTAATAGCAACCTGCTACTGCTTGCTGGCTTTGCCAGACCCAACTTCATTGAGAACAATATGACAGCCGTCCCAAGATAGCGAAACTGAACGGGTGGCAAAATGATAGAAACAAGCGAGGAGGAATGGGCGTTCCGAGATTCAGCGGTGAACGGGACACCCAACCTGCAACTTGCAGACGTCTCGAAACAGGAAAGGGTTAATAGCAACCTGCTACTGCTTGCTGGCTTTGCCAGACCCAACTTCATTGAGAACAATATGACAGCCGTCCCAAGATAGCGAAACTGAACGGGTGGCAAAATGATAGAAACAAGCGAGGAGGAATGAGACTTGGCACCTGTACAACTGGCCAATCGGCCCCCCTTAGGGAGTCATTGTGGACGGGTGAAATGCAAAGACCAAAATGCATTTGGGGTGCGGTGATGCAGGAGAATTGAGCGAGTGAGTTTGTGCGATGACAAGACGAAGAAGGAGGAGGGAGTAGAGGTGTTGAGACAGAACCGCTAGAAGTACATTTTGCTGAGGAAACTGATCGAGGAGCAGTGACGATGTTCGTACACAGATGAAAATGTAAGGGCAGAGGGGAAGGGGGAGTGGTTGGTGGCACAGTGTGAGACGTGGGATAGGGCTCTCCATGGGTGATGCCAAAGATCGCAAAACGTGGACAACGTCTTGTCATGGACATCAACCTTCGGTTACGAGGGTAACGGTAGCGAGACAGGTGGAGAGATAGTACACTGGAGAGATGCAGCGACAGGCAGTCTTGTGGAGTGTGTGATAGCCCAACATCAAAACCCACGCAAAGGTTTTCTCCATATGTAAACACTCATTAATTGATCTATTACACCTTTATATATGGAGTACCGCAGAGCTTGGAGGGACATTTTGCACCGGCTGACCAATTGGCTGCCTCTCCCGCTTGCCTGTGGTTCATCCTCGCACCTCTTCAGTCGTTCTCTCTGTTCAAGGAGCGAGCGAATATTGTGTAGCGGGTTACAAGTTGCCAAGTTGGCATTATTATTATTATGATTATTAAAATATCTGGTTTCCTTTTGATCCAGTCGGTCCCTGATAGCCAGGGGCAGCTTAGCAGTGGGAGGCATCTGTTATGAGCCGGCTGCTCGGAGCAATAACGCCATCCCCTTCACCTAATCTCCGTGTTGCTGGAGCGAGCAGTGAAAGCATCTGCCGATGTTAGTGTTTCAAGCCTTGGTGGTAGGGCTTGCCGAAGGTATAAACTTTTCCAAGGGCAGTCCTCGGCATCCCCTACCAAATGTTTAAAATCTACGCCTCAAACCGCCCACGATTCCACGTACCGTTTGTTCCTCAATCTCTCTCGCTTTAAAAAAATATATATATATCTTACCTCCCCTTGAGTTTTCTTATCACTCACGGAACAAAAGGCTAAAACATGTTTTAATAAAACACATGGCAAAACACGTGACCTTAAAAGCAAAATTCTTTATTGTGGAGTCTGATTGAGGCTTTTGTTCACTCACAAATCTTTGCATTCACATTTTGTTTACGGTACAAGTCATTGAGGGAACAGATTTGCTTAAACATTTGATTTAAAAAAAACCTTCATATTAGTAGCATGTTTTGGTGTAACTCTTTATTGAACTTGAATATACTGTACAATATTTTGTCACGGTATATTTAAATTGTTATCTTTCTTCTCTGTTACTTATCTATTTGGAATTTTCTACATCACCGAGTAGTAAACGAAGAGGCTCGGGCACCCTTGGGTGGCCCTGGCTCGAGTTCACATCCTCACCACTGTTCTGGTTCCTCAGTGGGTTCCTGTGTATGTCTGTCTGTACGTTGAACTTCTTTCGCACCGTACGTAGTAGCCAACCGTGCCAATCGGAGGCTCGGGTTCGTGGTGCAGTGCGCGCTCACCAAAGTGCTGGGTTCCCCAGCAACAATCGCCATTCGTCACTAGGTGGTGGTGACGTCACCACAGCGCTTGTGCCAAGCTAGGTGCACCTTGAGGCCACTTGAAGTGTGGAAGTCTCGCTGGTAGAGTCACGGGACAGACCCAGGTGTATGGGTACCCCCCCCCCCCGCCAGATTCACACACACACACAGATAGATATTTAGGACACACATCAAGGACACGCACAGCCAGCCAGAGAACACCCAAACCCTCATGTTTCTTTTAACAAAGAAAGATGTCTCACTTCTCTTGTGTCAGTGGGGTTCTTCTTCTGAACCTGGGGTGCAGCGTGCACCCCCAGGGGGTGCGAGATGCCCTGTCTGGGGGTGCGAGGCACGGCCAGATTTTTTTAGAAGGTAAATCATCGAAACACAAATTAAGCACGGGCGCGTCACTACAACTACTTTGTTTTTTATCAAACCCTATGTGTGTATTAACATTACAAAAACACAATTACCATTGAGAACTAAAGGCGTGCAAGGTTGCAGTCAAGGTTAAATAATCACTGATTGGTGTTAACCGCAGCCGCGGGCCGCTCTCTTAACATGGCGTTATTGAGGTTCTGAATGGTGACTTCGTTTCGTGAGTTACACTCCGATAAGATGATTGGGATAACACTGCGGTGGGGGGGGCACGGTGGAGGGGGCACGGGCGAGGGGGCACAGGGGGGGGGGGCACAGGGGAGGGGGCACGGGGGAGGGGTGGGGGACACGGAGAAGGAGGAGCGAGGAGCGGCTCCGGCTGAGCGGCGTCTGCGGCTGCCGTCCCCAGGAGCCGTGGCGTGGGCGAGGAGGCGGAGCGGCTGTACCGGCGGGCCACGAGGGTCGCGCCGCACTTTGCCGACGCCTTCGCGGGGCTGGCCTCGCTCCTGTCTGCCCAGGTGGGTGTGGGGGTGTGTGCAGATGTGTGGGTGGGTGGGTGTGTGTGTGCAGATGTGTGGATCGGTGTGTGTCTTTGTGTAAGCACACACGCACACCTATGCAAAAAACAATGCGGACGGTTTTCTGGGATATGCACTATGGCCGTGAGCCTTTGACACATTTGGTGTCTCGTTCGAAGATTCCGAGCGCCTCCTACCCACGGGGGCTGCTCGCCGCCTTGTATATATGGGGAGCCGTGGTGGCTAGGAGATGTTAACTACCTCGCCTCGTATACAGGAGGCCGTGGGTTCGATCCCGACCCTGACGCCTGCTGTATATTTGGAGTTTGGATTTTTATCCGGATACTCCTCGTTTTCCCTCCACATTTAGAATCAGCGTGCGTTTAGAGTAGTTGGCTGCTCAGAATGTCCACAAAAGCCACTTCGTTGAGCTATCATTTGTGATCGCCAGGTCGCTTCTAAAAAATAGCTACGTAGCTCAGTGGACCTTACCTGGTAAAATAAAAAGTTTGGTTAAATATTGCCGCTCAGAGGACGACGTCCCGTGCGATGCAGAATCGCGCGCGCGAGGCGGAGGAGGTGTACCGCACGGCGCTGGAGATTCACGCGCACAACGCGGATCTTCACAACAACTACGGCGCCTTCCTCCTTGAGCGAGGTACGGCACGGGCGGCAGTCGCGACGCGACGTGGATTGCATGGGTGGCCTCAACGTCGACGGATTCTCTCATCTCAAAGGTCAAAGTTTAAACGGTTTTAAACTCTTAACATATTTCTAAGGAGCCGCTAACTAATGCCATTTACCGTTGACTTATTAAAGTGTATCTCAAGTGTCCAGCTTGCAGTCCTTTCACCAGCTCCCACTGACCAGCATGGGGAAGTATGGTCAAACAACCCCTATGATCGACACGGCCAGAATAGGCCTCCGTCCAAAAGTGGCTTGACAGAGGTAAATCAATAATAATAATGACAAATACTCCATGGCAGTGCCACTGCTGCTTTGTGCTGAAGTGGGTCTCGTAGGATTTGGGTCGGCTCAGGCCAACGCAGGCAGCAAGACAGCAGCAGTACTTGTTTAACAGGCCTGACTGCTGATGACAACCAGCAAGGTGGAAACCAGCGCAGCCTGCTCGCTGAAACAAACGCTGACGGACTTGGAAACGCGTTTAACGCGGAGAGACGGACGCGTGCCCCCGCGGGACGGCACGCGCGCTGTACGTGTCGCGCCCAGCGCCAACCGTTGCTGGCGTGGTGTGCCGGCCGGCGCGTGCCCTCCCAGGTGACCAGGAGCGCGCCCGCGGCCACTACGTGCGGGCGACGCAGCTCAACCCCTCGCACGCCGTGGCGCTCGTCAACCTGGGGCGCCTGGCGCGCGCCCGCGGCCACAACCGCGAGGCCGAGGACTGGTACCTCCGGTAGGGCCGCCGTCGTCGTCTGTCATTACCCCCCACCCCGAGTGTTTCCCCGCTCGCCGCTCGACAGGAGCAAGGTGACCCCCGCTCTCAGTACTTGCCCTGACAGCACGGCCGTGCGGGGTGGGTCCGCGTCTGGCGTCTGAGCGCAGCTGCCTGGAGGTGGACCGCAGTGCGGAGGCGCTGTCGCTGCTGGGGGCCCTCTACTACAACACGGGGCGGACGCGCGGCGCGCTCGGCGCCTACAGCGAGGCCCTGGAGCGGGATCCCTCGAGCAGGAGCAGCGCCCTGGCTCTGGTGATGCCACGCGAGCCGGCCGTGTGTCGTACACCCTCCTCCACCCGACACAGCCACACGAAGGGACAACTTCAATTGTCATCGGTGGCTACTCGTCCAGCTTCCAACGAAGCGGCTTGACGTGTGGAAATTGATAGCAGCCAAATACTCTAAACGCGTGATGTTGATTCTAAATGTGGAGGGAAAAACCCGGAGGACCCGGAGAAAGATTCACGCAACCACAGGGAGAGAGAGAGAGAGAGACACGCAAACTACATATACAGCAGGCGTCAGGGTCGGGATGGAACCCACGACCTCCTGTATACCAGGCGAGGTAGTTAACATCTCGCTCCAGCGACGCCCTCTCACGTTGGCTTTCGTTTAGCACAGCGTGCGCCTGTGTGTGTCTGTATGGGAAGCGGTAGTGTAGCGGTTAGCAAACCTGGTGACCCGAGTTCAATTTCCGCTCACGGCAAACATCAGTGGCGATTATCTGAACCAGTCCTGGGCTTCCCCTAGGTCGACTTAGCCTCAAATGAGTACCTGGTGCGGTGTGTAAACATCGCCACTAGGTGTGCCGTGCCGGTCATTCATAGCTGCTCGCTAACAGCACTTATAGTCTGTTAAGGCTATACGGTGGATCTTTATTCTTGTGTGTGCAGGCACAGGTGCTGGTGCGTTTGGGGGAGGTGCGGGAGGCCGAGCGGGCCGTGACGCGCGCGCTGGCGCTGGACCCCGCGTGCATCGAGTGCCACCGCCTGCGGGCGGCGCTGCACGCGCAGGCGGGAAGCACGGAGCAGGTCAGCCCCGGGGGCGGAGGCCACCTCCAATTTGAGACAAAAGCTACGGCCGGGCGCCGGTGCCTTGCCCGGTGGCTCCCGCCGGCGCTCGCCAAAACGGCACCCGCCCCAAGCGGTCTGCTAAAGAACCGCGCGGGGGATCTTTGTCTTTTGCGCGCGAGCGGCGCAGGCGCTGGAGGCGGTGCGCGCCGCCATCCGCTTGAGGCCCCCGGACTCGCGCCTCCTCGCCGACCTCCACTTCGCCGAGGGAAACCACCTGCGGGAGCTCGGCCGCACGCACGACGCCCTCAAGGTGCCGGGCGAGCGCGCTCGTCGCGTGCGTCCTCACTCCCGGCGGTGCCCCCGGTGATGCCCGCGGAGGCGCCTGCAGCAGCCGGCGCACTGGCACCGGGGCCCACTAGCTGGAGGGATCCAGGTTCCGGGCTTTGGAAATAGGGGGGGAGGATGATGGAATTTGACAATCGCCTCCCCCGGCCTCCCATTTCCTTCTTGGCACCTGGGCCCACGTCAACCGCGCTATGCCAGCGGTGCGCGCCGCCTCCGTTTTCACCGCATCCCACAAAAAACATTAGCCCCCGCCAAACGTAGCAATGAACTTACACCGAGGTGAACTCCCAGCCACGCGCGTGTTTGTTCGTTACTTTGCCAAGGTTCAAAACGGCGCGTGCATTTGTCCAGATGAACCTCGATGTGAACGTCAGTTTTTTTAAAACGAACGAACCGGCCGTCGTCGTGAACGCTCGTAGGAGACGGATAATCCTGAATCCCGTCCGCCCTCGTCTTCGAAAACGCTCGTCGCGCGCGTTCGCCGTGCGCGCCGCGGAACCGGTCCGAGACGCGCTGCCGTCGAGGCGCTTTGCCAACGCGAACGGCGCGGGCGCCGTCTTCTGCAGAGCTATGGTGAGGCCGTGCGACTGGAGCCCTCGTTGGCGCCCGCGTGGATGAACATGGGAGCTGTGCTGCACGTGCAGGTGAGACGACGCCGACGCCGCCGCGCCCCGCGTCCCATGAAGACCGCGTGGCAAGCGTTCAAATCTGATCGCCAGCGGAGGAGACCCTCTTATCCGTGACGCTGTTATCCTGGTGGCTACGCACCACCGTAATCCGGCGCTGTGGACACCGGGAGGGGTTGGTGGATCGCGCGACATATTTTTTAAACTCCCTTCCCGTGGGTGTCAGAAATGCCATAACCCGACTTTACAGAAGACGGCGCAGCAAATGTTAACTCCCATCTGTTCCATCTTTGCGGGGATAGTGTCCCCCCCCCCTCCCCCCCCCCGTACGTGTGGAATTTCTCCGGGTGCTCCGCATCCGTCCCACATGTAAACACTCATTAAATAATAGAAAGAGGACCTGCAGAGCTTGGGCAATTGCCGGTGCCGGCTCAGTGGCTGCCTTTCCACTTGTTTGTGATTCTTTGCGCCTCCCGGCTATTACCCGTTTTCGGAACCGGTCATGGGCTTCCCCTAGGTCGACTCAGCCTCAAATGAGTACCTGGTGCGGTGTGGTAAACATCGCTACTGGGGAGACAAAGGTGGCGGGGCTGGCCACCCACCCCCTCGTGCGCTGTGCTGGCCTTCATATGTGGTCCCTAACGGCACTTGCCCCAACAGTCTGCTGCAGGCTTTATGGAGGATCTTTGTCTTTGTGTGCCAGGGGGATTACCGGGGCGCTCGCGAACTCTACGAGAGAGCTCGGCAGTTGGAGCCCGGAAGCCTCGCGTTGCTGGAAAACCTGGCGAAGCTGAAGCGAGCGGAGCACGGAGCGCCCCTCCCGGGCCCCGAGCGGAGCTCCCCAACGGCCGTCCCACCGCTCCACTGACCACATCCTCACCCGCGGGGCCAACACCCCTCTGAAGCGTTTCCACACAGAGGAGAGGCGGTAACTGGGTTCACCTGCTCATTTTCTCTCCTCCTTGGCTCCAACTCCTTGTCAGAGTCAGCAGCAATTACCAGCGAGTCAGTAAACATAACATGGTTAACCAGTGGGGAGCCATTGCTACATCATATCTGGGTATTAACCATCCTCCCACTGTATCCCTACCCGATGGAAATCCCATGTTTTTCAAAACGGACAAGCCAACTATTGTGGACCTTAAATTGTACGATGTCGTATTATCGCCAATCACGGCAACCCCCGATACGTATGTTGGGAACAGGTGTAGTTTGGGGGAGGCTTTGTCAGGGCACTGGCTGGGCCGTGGGGCCCCGGTGCAGTTGCACCGCCTGCGCACTCGCTAGCCCCGCCACTGTCCACAGAATGACTTACAAAGCGAGAGAGCTGGGCGAGAGGGTGCGAGAAGAGCTGGGTGTAAAAACGTGTGCATTTTGCCCAATTGTATAACTTATAAGCGTGGCTTTACCGTGCGCGGCTGTGGAGTTTGTCCGGTGTTTTGCCGTTTACATAATTGAGTGTTATATTTAAGCGGTGAGTGTTGGGACTGAGTGTAGGCCCGGCGAGCTGGTGGGACGACGCACCGCCTCGTCACCTCCTGCTGCGAGAGCAGCGCTCGATTCTGACCGGGACTGTGGGCACCGCTTGAACGAACGCTGCTGAGCTTCGCCTGCCGTGAGAGAGCAAGTTCGCGTCCTCCTCCTCCCGCAGTCCCACGGTGCTTACTGTTGTTGTTGTCGTTGTCGTTCTTGTTTACCTAGGAGAGCCTAACAGAGTCTCAAGACACTTTTTTTTTCCCAAGAGGTTTCCTGTCAACTTTTCGCATGGAGAGGGGTTGGGGTGGGGGTGGGGGGAGAGAAGATTATGCCGCGTGTGCAGGAATCTCCGTTGAGTAATTTGCGAGGTAATTTTTCGGCATCGCAAAATTGCCGTTTGAACCCTTTTCGGCGCAAGGAATATGCTCCTATCGCACGTCTCGGACGCGAGAGATGAGCCAGCGGTCTACAGCGCGCGTGCGCTCCACTGCCGTTTCGTTACACGGGCTCCGAGCCCACGGGGCTGGCATTAGTCAGTGTTTACGAGTGTTTACCTCCGTCTATGCATGATTCAGTTTTCGTCACATCACGGTTGGGCACCCGGGGTCGTGCGCACGTTTCTAACTCCGTGCGGTCATCTGTGACGGAGCATTGCTCCTCGAGCTATGCACGGAACATTTATATTTTAAACGCTAACGGCAAGCTCGGGTAAGAGACCCAGCATCTCAGCCTCTCCATTAATCTGGAGTTGTACTTGTTTGAATCTGTCATCACTGGCTTACGCACACATCGTCGCAAAGACACGTGGGTTCTTTAAGACAGACCGCTCTGTTTGATATATTATGCAGAATGACGACACACGCGCATGATACACAGTGCAACGTATCGACAATGTTTTATTTTAAAAATTGCAAAAAAAAAACAGAGTTATATATAAAATATATGTACAGTCGACACGTGCGGTGTGCAGTGTTTCAGCTTGCGTGCAAAGCAGCGTGGAGTGCCCTCTGTCGAGTGCGTGCAGCGCGACACGCAGACACCAGCGCGACACGCAGACACCAGCGCGACACGCAGACACCAGTGCGAGGGCGCCACCCACAACACCAGCGCCGCTCCCCGCACCGACCTCCCTCCCTCCTGTGCCAGCCTCCTCCTCCCTAACCTCCAGTGCTATACTCTCTCCCCTCACCTCCATACCCTCCCGTGTCATCCTCTCCTCCCACCTCCTATCTCTCTCCAAGCTCCATATCCTCTCTCCTCTCACTGCCCCCCCCCCCCCACAATGTCCAAACAGCATCACTGCCTTCCCACGATTCTCTTCGTTCAGAACCTCCCTCCCTCCCTCGTCTCTCTTTCCCCAGGAGCCCATCGTCACTGTCCGCCGACCGCCGTGGCTCTTCAGCACTGCCCCGTCCCTTGCCCTTCCACCTCCTCGCCCTACCGCGTGCGCATCACCGCCCCGCCGCCGTCCCCCGCCCCACCAACCCCGTGCAGCCACCGTCGCTGTCCCCCTCCCCGTTGCGCTCACGGCGAGGCTCCGTCACCGGGCGGCTCGGCGTGCCGTGCTCCGACGTTCGCTTGCCGCCCGTGCGTGTCCCCCGCCCGATTCACGGGAAGGATGCCCATCCGTGGGCCCGGAGCCTTTGCTTGCTACGGTGCTCCTTTTTGGGGGGTTCAGTCGCTCACAGCCGCGACCCCCCCCCCCGCCAAACACCCCCCCCCCCCCGGCTCTGCCCCGTTGACCGCGGACGCGTTCGTTCGCTCGCTCGCTCGCGACGACGTTAGTAAGGCTTTCGTAAATAACTGGTAAACAAGAAGACTGCCAGACACCGCGGACGAATAGCGACGGACACAACGCGTCACAAATTAAAATAAATACACAGACTAGGGCGAAGACGTCAGTACCGGCAGAAGGACTCCTCTACTCGAGTTTATTTGAAGGCTTGAACTGAACTGCGCTCGGATTAATTTTCACAGAAATTCGTTCAATGTGGATAAATGCACTCAAGTACCTGACGCACATAAATATAAGGAAATGGACTGCAGTTGTCCAATATTGATGGAAACTAAAAGAATTGGACAGCAATAAACTGAACAAGAATGGAATCAACAGGCTACAAATGATCTTAGAGGAACGCGATAAAAACTGGGTTGCGGATACTGTATTACGTGACGCACGTTACGTCTGAGATTTCAAACTTACAATGGGTGTTGTACCTTTAAAGTCGGGGGAGGTAGGTCGCCTCTCAAGTCTCAACGCCCGACATTCCCGCGAACGCTGCCCGACCATCGATCTCAAGCTCTCCCTTCAGATGGACCTCGTCCATTTCCCTCCCATTCCACTCACTCTGCGTTCCGCACGCTGTAGACCCTTCCCTCTGCCTTCACCCCATTCCATTCCACTCCACGGTAACCCCCCTAGCCCCCCTCCCCCCCCCCCCCCAACATCGGTTGCCAGCGTGGACTTCAAACACTGAGCAGCCAGTCCGTTGCGACGCGACGCTCGTTAGCAGGCCTCCTCGTTTTAATTTCCGCGGACGCGCCGAGCCCGTGGAGTTTGGGGGGGGGGGGGGGGCGCAAGCCCCGGGACCGCGTCCTCTGCCTGGGGGGTCACCGCCCCCCATCGCCGTCCCGCCAGGTTCAAGCCGAGGCTGTCGATCCCTGCGTGGGTCCCCGTCCGTGATCCTTGACCTCCCGACTCCACCTTGGGTTCAGGGACGCCCCCGGTCCCAACCAGGCCCCGCCACCGGGACTTCTTTTAGGGGCCAAGACTGGGCCACGGGTGACCGTCGGCCCCCACCCCCCACCCCACCCCTCGGCGTTTCAGGCTTGGGCCTCCAGAATTCGTACCTCGGTGCTGTACCCGAGGCGTCACTTCTTGGAGAGGAACTTCATTCTGTTCCCTGTTAGTGAGTGAGAGAGGTGGGAGGTGGAATTGCAGGCAGAGGTAAGGGAGGAGGGTTGTTGGTTGCTCTCTCTGTCTGCGAGTGCGGGGCTCACGGACGTGATCCCCGTACTCGTTCCACGCACGCGCGCGTACTTTCGCACGTTATTACGCTTGCACTCGTAGCCAAGGGCCAATGAGGAGAGGAGAGAAAAAAAATGTGAGCAGACGATATCCTGAAATACGTTTGGGTGACTGACCTTGAGCTATCTTGACTCTTAAGTCACATCGAGCACAAATCATGCACTGCAAGCGGTAAACCTTGCGTAGGGTGAGCGCGGGAGTGGTGGGGCGATGGTCTGAACACCGCGCTGCCAGACCAGGTGACCCGAGTTTCAATTCGCCTCTGGACTTTACAGTCTCCGGATGGGAATCGCGTACAGTTAGACTCGTTCATTATTGGAACGCAAAGGCAGGCGTGGTGGCGGTGGTGGTGGTGGTGGTGATGGTGGTGGTGATGCTGCACTCGTGCTGGGCTCCCGGGGAGCCGCCTGAGGGGCTGCGTTTGTTCGCTCGCCCGCTGGAGAAGCGCCGGCGATGAAGCCGCCACCGCCAGCGCATTCCAGTTTCTGAGTCTGATCCACCCCGCGCGCGCGTCATCGTCTGAGACCGCAAAAAACCCGGGTTGGAACTTTGTTGTCCCCTCAACGGTTTGTTGCGTTCAGTTTGTTGCCCTTCCCCCCGGCATCAATGCCCCGTGCTCCTGTGTCGCTTAGACCCCACGGCTCCCGCACCCGGCAACCCTCGCCGCATGTCCCGTGCCACGCGCTGGGGTTGGGGGTGGCTTAGCGGCGTGAGATTCTGGACGGGACAGAATTAAGAATGTTGTCTGCTGGGCAGGATGGGAAATCCCAACCAAAAGGATATACTTAATCCCACACTTGTTCATACTTAATCATCGAAATGTGTCCATGTTCGAGGCCCGACAAGTGGGAGTCACAGGAACAGAGGGGTGGGTCTCTGTGTGATGAGTCTATGGGTCTCTGTGTGGTGAGTCTATGGGTCTCTGTGTGGTGAGTCTATGGGTCTCTGTGTGATGAGTCTATGGGTATCTGTGTGGTGAGTCTATGGGTCTCTGTGTGGTGAGTCTATGGGTCTCTGTGTGATGAGTCTATGGGTATCTGTGTGGTGAGTCTATGGGTCTCTGTGTGGTGAGTCTATAGGTCTCTGTGTGGTGAGTGTATGGGTCTCTGTGTGGTGAGTCTATGGGTCTCTGTGTGATGAGTCTATGGGTATCTGTGTGGTGAGTCTATGGGTCTCTGTGTGGTGAGTCTATGGGTCTCTGTGTGGTGAGTCTATGGGTCTCTGTGTGATGAGTCTATGGGTCTCTGTGTGATGAGTCTATGGGTCTCTGTGTGATGAGTCTATGGGTCTCTGTGTGGTGAGTCTATGGGTCTCTGTGTGATGAGTCTATGGGTCTCTGTGTGATGAGTCTATGGGTCTCTGTGTGATGAGTCTATGGGTCTCTGTGTGATGAATCTATGGTTCTCATTTCTTTACAACTGCTTTTAGTGTTTAGTCTTTTGTCCTCCCGCACCTCCGATTAGCACGCTTAGCTACGTGCGGTGTGAAAGAAGATCAATATACGTGGGAGAGCAAGGCAACACCTTTGACTTTGCGTATTCGCGACTCATGACCTTCCATAGATATATTTATTATTTACGCGATCTAACCCAAAAAAAACCTCTGTTATGGATAATATTGGTCGCGAAAGCCTACTACTACGTGTTAAACTGATCTTGCATAGCTCGACCAATACAATTAGCATATTTACTTTCGCAAGTTTACGGATACCTGCCTTGATGCAGCCTCAGGGTTTGATCGCTATGAATTAGCCGCGTTACGCATTGCCAATGGCACGCAGAAGTTGGCGCAGAGCCAAACTTTTGTGGTTCTCGTTCTTCTTGGCCGGGAACCCCCCCCCCCGCCTCCCAACCCCCTCACGTACATTGGCATTTTACACAACAATACAACACGCTAGCTTTGAACGCTTTATTGCAGCATTGTCCTTCGTGCCAAGTATTGAGTCTTTAGCTTGTAGGTTTCCGATGTTGGAGAAAGCCTGCTTGCTAGCCTGCAATGACACGGTTAAGGCCTCACCCCGGCCACAAACGGGGGGATGCGAACGGACGCCCGGGGCGATCACCGGTAAGTCGCGGTGGATACAGCGAAGTGCGGTGGCCCAGTGAGAAGCAGTCGGCGCTTCCGTGACTCCCGGCTTGTGAATCCCACCCGGGGGGGGGGGGAGGGGAGGTCTGGCCCACAAACTGCTCCCCGGCCACGCCGCGTGGCTTCAAGGGTGCTCCTAGGCCGGTTACGGGCGCCGTCACGACCGCTGTTGTGCCGACAAACTCACCGAGCCCTTTGAGGAAGCGATTGACCCCTCCACGTTCCGCTTCAGGTGTCTCCGCCAGGTACTGAGCTGCGCGCACCTCAAAGAGGCCTGCACTCAAACACACAAAGGCAAAGATCCCCCGCATAGCATCACGATACACTCGGGGCAAGTGCTGTTAGCGAGTAGCACCTATGAAGGCCTCGCACGGCAGCACGAGGGGCTATCTACGGGTGAGTGGGAGAGAGGCCAGCAATGCAGGAGAGCACGCTGCTCACGCACGCAGGAGACCGCTCATCCCGCCCCATCCGCCGGTGCGTCCGTGCGTGCGTGCGTGCCGTGCGTCGACCTCTCGCCTCTGGGGCAGGCACGCCGCGCCTCGCGCTCGTGCACGAAGCCGGCGAACATCTGCGTCTCCATGAAGAGCTCGAGGAAGCGTCGCGTGCTCTTGGAGGCCACGGCCTTGCGGAAGGTCTCGCGCTGCAGGCGCCGCTCCGCCCTCTCGCGCCTCCCGCGGGCCCCGCCGGGCTCGGCGCGCCGCTCGCGGGCCTCCAGCGCGTCCAGGTGCAGCGAGTAGTGGCCCACGGTCTCGACGAAGAAGCGCACAAACGCCTCGGAGACGAAGCGATCCAGCGGGCCGCGGTCTGCGCGCCGGTACACCACGTTTAGTCGATGTACGTACGGCAAGTCATTTTTTTACACGCAGAAGCTGACTGAAATAGGGGGGGCTCTCAGCGGTGGGGGCTGGGCGGGGGGGTGGGGAGTGGGGGGTGGGAGTGGGGGGTGAGAGGATGCCCGACGGAGGAGGGGGGGGGGTGTGGGGGGGGGTACTGTCCGCTCACCCTGGTTCCCGTCTCCCGCGTCCTCCTGACCCCCCTCGGCCTCCTCTCCGCTCGAGTCCGGGCCGCGTGCGCACAGCTCGTGACGCTGCTCCAGCGCGTGCTCCAGCGCCCCCTGCAGCTTCCGCGGCAGAATGCTGTCCTCGTCGTCCAGCTGCGGGGAGAACGCTCCGTATGTTTGTGTGTGTACGTTGAACCTCTTTCGCACCGTACGTAGCCAACCGTGCTAATCGGAGGTGTGGGGGAAGGACAACGGACGAACACACAAGGTTCTAAAAACATGAGTTTGTCGATCTAGACGATGACGATTTAAAAGTGCCACAGCTCCCACTGGCTTCCTAATATCGGAAGGAAGAGCGTTCCAGACGGCCGCCGAAGCGCATCCTAAGGTGCGCGATGCAAGTGACCGTCTTTGTTCGATGCCTAATTTATCGACGCCACACACACACAAACGGGTGGGGGGGGGGGGGGAGTGCAGTCAACACCGGCTCAAAACAACTGAACGTGTGGGGCATTCTTGTCGTTTAGGTCACCAACTCAGGGTTAAGAGAATGTGGCCACATCCCAGCGGGTAGCAGTGAACCAAGCACACAGCTCTCGCGCGGTCTTGACCTCACTGGGACTCATCAGCGCAGCAGAGTCATGACTGTTTGCTGCCGCTGTCGTATTCCTCCGAGAGCCCGCATATACGGAGCAGGGGCCTGTGACCTTCGCACGAGGAGGGGCCCATTGAGCACTTGTCTAAAGGGCAACGATAAGTGACGTCTGTAAATGACGATCGTTATTTTTTGTTCCTCTGCGACGTCTCACAACACCGCGGTGCCCTCTGGAGCCCTCTCGTGCCGCCTTGCTCACCGCCCAGCGACGCTCGCGCCGGAGCGCTGCTGACCACCAGGAGATGAGATTCCCAGAGAGAAGTATCCTCCTGATCCTCTAAACCAGGTTCACAAACTCCAGGAGATGAGGTCCCCAGTGGGAAGTACCCTCCTGATCCTCTAAACCAGACTCCCAAACTCCAGGAGATGAGATCCCCAGTGGGAAGTATCCTCCTGATCCTCTAAACCAGACTCCCAAACTCCAGGAGATGAGATCCCCAGTGGGAAGTACCCTCCTGATCCTCTAAACCAGGTTCACAAACTCCAGGAGATGAGGTCCCCAGAGGGAAGTACCCTCCTGATCTTCTAAACCAGGTTCCCAAACTCCAGGAGATGAGATGCTCAGAGGGAAGTACCCTCCTGATCCTCTAAACCAGGTTCCCAAACTCCAGGAGATGAGATCCCCAGTGGGAAGTACCCTCCTGATCCTCTTAACCAGACTCCCAAACTCCAGGAGATGAGATGCTCAGTGGGAATAACCCTGCTGATCTTCAAACCAGGTTCCCAAACTCCAGGAGATGAGATGTTCAGAGGGAAGTATCCTCCTGATCCTCTAAACCAGACTCCCAAACTCCAGGAGATGAGATCTCCAGTGGGAAGTATCCTCCTGATACTCTAAACCAGACTCCCAAACTCCAGGAGATGAGATCCCCAGTGGGAAGTACCGTCCTGATCCTCTAAACCAGGTTCCCAAACTCCAGTCCTCCCAACCCTCTCCAGGACCGCCTTCCAAGTTTACCAAGTGAGCTGAATTTTTTTTAAATTACAAACTGAGATGAGTTCGCCAAACCCACTTGCTGTACTACCATCTCCGAGTCACCACGCAGCCCAGTTGTGTTTGGGAGCTTCGCAGATCTCTCCGACTCGCCAAACGTCGCCTCAAAGGTGTGCATCACTGCATGGCCCACGTATGCTGGTGGCCTTGTGGTGTGATAATACTCTGTGTCACGAGTAGGAAAAACAACTCAGCGCATTCGCCAATGACACTTGCCCGAATAAAGAACAAATATACATGTGCTGGAAATTAAAACAGGCGACGATTTTGGGCAACGTACCTTCATAGTCAAATAATAATACTTCAAATTTAGAATGCGCATTCTATCCTAGGATCCCAGTACGTGCTTTTAAGAAGGGCCATTGCTTCAAACATCGCAAAACGGTTGGCTACGTACGGTGCGGAATAAGTTCAACATACATACATTAAGTGCATTTTCATCTTGAGGGCAGCGTTGTTGATGAATGTGTTGCGTTTTGTTATTTGTGCTTGTGTGTGTGTGCGCGTGTGCCGCTACTGCTAACGCAGTTTCTCCAAAACAAACTGTTGAACAAGTAGGGTTCTGTTGGGTACAAGCCCCGGAGTGTAAACACGGCCACTGCTATTGCAGCAGCCACGTCGCTATCGGAGACGCAGCCTCACTACCCGCACGTGACTCACCTGGCGCAGGAAGCGATCGCCGCACAGATCCACCAACAGCACCTGGGGAAGGAGGGAGACATCGGTGTACGTAATAAATAATTACAGGGAACAGGTGTTGGTCAATTCACTGCTGGATAAAGCCCCCACCCCCCCCCCCCCCCCCCCATTTCTTAAGAACTGCTTTTTGTGACTGCAGGGATTCATATTCTTGGTTCTTTCGGTAGGGTCACGTAGAAAGGAAACAATAAAATAATACAAATATAAAACAATAAAATTCTCACGACGTTTCGACTGCAACACAAGCAATCATCATCAGGTGTGAAAACCACAGCAAGAAAAAATTGTAAAAGTGCCGTTTTTTTAACGTTAGCACCAAGCTCTTAAGGCTAATGGTTACTCCGACTACACATTCCGCAAAGCTATCACTCCAACCATGAAGAAGGACCCTCTTGAGGTGCCTTTCTAAACCATCACTTTACCCTACATTGCGGGGATCACAAAAAGATCTCCAAAATCTTGAATAAACACAAGATCCAGGTCCGATTTAACACATTACATAAAATCCGTGATCTGGTTCCGTCTGTAAAAGTTGTGATTCCGGACATACAGTACCCTGGCGTCTACAAACTAAGTTGCCTCTGTGGTAGTAGTTACATTGGAGAAACCAAACGACATGTCTCGGACCGCATTCGTTAACACAAAGCAGACCTAAAACACGGTAGGACCAACACCACGGCCCTGGCAGATCACTGTTATAATTCAGTAGGCTCACATGACATTGACTTCTCCAAGACAGAGGTTCTTTGCAAGCCATCTGGCTACCATGAGAGATTCGTTCATGAGGCTATCCACATATACAAACACAGAGACAATTTCAACCGAGAAGATGGATTCTGGCTTATCAATCATTGGAAGGATTTGATAAACCATTTCGGGTCTTAATTGATTGTTCACGCTTACGGTGGCTTTCAGACCGCATCCATTATTTTCGTCTCCCCCCTCCTCTTTTCCGAACATAGATGGACTCGTCCATCTGAACAACTGCCAAATCGCTCTCTGTGGTGCTAACGTTAAAAAAACCGCCACGTTTTTCAATTTTTCTTGCTGTGGTTTTCACACCTGATGATGATTGCTTGTGTTGCAGTTGAAACGTCGTGAGAATTTTATTGTTTTATATTTTTATTATTTTATTGTTTCCCTTCTACGTGACTTTACCGAAAGAACCAAGAATATATAACTGCTTTTTGTGTTTAGTTTGTTGTCCTTCCCTCCTTCCCCACACCTCCGATTAGCACGGCTGGCTACGTACGGCGCGAAAGAAGTTCAACATACGATCATACGTTGAAGCCTGCTGGTCGGTGCGAGTTGATGAAGCAGGGAGACCCAAGGTGCTATCCGTGGCCGGGAATTAAACTCGGGCCCACTGTGTTCAGAGCCACGCCAGTACGTATGTACAGACAATATTTTTTTTTTAAATGAGCATATAGTACTGCATTCCACAATGTCCTTACTTGCAATAACAATCACGATAAGTGTACACCCTGCATGTATGTATTTACGTAAGTACGTAGCAAACCGTATTTATTGGAGCATCAGTGCATGTTGGGTAAGGCAACTCATAATTCGCAGTTAATTAGTGTAATGAGCAACCACCTGTGATGCATCTGGAAGAGGCAGCCTGGTCGCATGACCTTTCGTGATGTTTAAGTGGACTCTGCAATGAGCAAAACAAAAAACGAAAGGGAGCTTCCTGATCGTATGTGGCCGCCACAGTGGCAAGAAGTTAACTACCTCGCCTGGTATATGGGAGGTCGTGGGTTTGATCCCGACCCTGACGCCTGTATATTTGGAATTTGCATGTCTCTGTCCCCGTGGTCGCCTGGATGTTTCTCTGGATCCTCCAGTTTTTCCCTCCACATTAAGAATCAACATGCGTTTATGGTATTTGGCTGCTGTAAATTTCCACATAAGCCACTTCGTTGAGTTTTCATTTGTGGCCAGGTCGCTTCTGAACAACGAGCTGCATAGCTCAGCGGGTCTTACCTGGTAAAATAAAATAAAATGCTTTAAAACATTTTTTTTTTAAACAATCTATGACATGTCCCAGATTGCACGTGGCCCCTTACCTCCTCGATGGGCAACTCTCGGAGGCGGGGCAGGGCGGAGCTGAGCACGCCGATGAGGAAGGGCGTGGGGGCGCACGCGATGTCCAGCATGCACGCGGGCAGCACGGGCACCAGGGTGTGCTGCCACGCGAACGGGTAGAGCAGCGCGGCGATGGCGTGGCCGCACTGCGACAGCGTGCTGCTCACACACGACAGAGACAACGGGCCGCCCCCCCGTCGCTGGGGTCAAACGTTTCCGTGAGCGAGCACCCTGTGGAGGTCGGCAATGGCCCACCAGGGGACGGTTGGCGTGGCCTGAAAAAGAAACCTCACCCGGCAATGGGGGGAGGGGGGGGGGAGACACTCACTCTGTGATGGAGCATTAGTAATGTATGATTATTGTTGTGCTTTAACACGTAGTAGGCTTTCGTGAGCAATGTTATCAATAATAAGAGTTGTTTGTTAGATTGGGTAAAATATAAGCGTGTTGTTAAACCCGCCAGCACCCGACACAGCCAATTAGTACAGTTTGTCACGTAAAAAAAACATGACAATTAATTAATAGTTTGGCATACCGGTGTGTTGGAGAGTAAACCCACAACATTTACAATTCGATTATGACGTTTCACCGACAATTACAACCGGCCTCATCAGGCGACAACCAGAGTTGTGGAGAAATCCTCCTGTTTCGGTCTATTATGGATGATTGTGCTTGTTTATCCACGAAGGGATCACTGAGTCTCAAGACTATTTTTCAGGTGGGTCCTGCGAGAAAGGGGGGGGGGGGGTGGGGAAGATGTTGCCGCTGTATGCGAGTAATTTTGAGGTATTTTTTTCAGCATTGGGATGTTTCGGCCAATATCAGTTGCACTGCGGGTTCTTTCTGCGACAGGAACAAAAAACAGAAAAAACCCCCGATACAGTTTGTTGTCCTTCCCCCGCACGTCCGATTAGCACGGTTGTCCACGCACGGTGCAAAAGAAGTTCAACATACAAGCGCACAACATACAAGCTCTAAACAGAAAGATGCCCCAAGTCGGGAGTCGAACCCAGGCGGCTCTCGCCGCGAGACGGCGTTTCGTTTCCTGTCGCGCCACCCGCACTGGCGGCAATAAAAAAACAAACAACAACAACAACAATCGAGTGACCGGTCGTTGGCGGCAGCGGGCTCAGAGGCCTGCGCGTCGTGGAATCTACCGCTCGGGGGACGCGGTGTCGGCGGCAGGTCCGCGACCTCCGGAGCAAACCTCGCTCCCTGTCGCGTTGGGCGCCGTCCACAACGGGTTAATTGAATAAAGCGAGTACAGTACATTTATTTTCACAACGTACATTGGCGCGAGAGATGTTAATCGCGTGCGTGCGCGCGCAAGTCTGGAAAAGGTATGCGCGTGCCGACTCGCTATGGAAACAGCTTGCAGCCCCCCCCCCCACCGCTGCCCCCCCCCTTCTTAAAATATTACAACGCGTGGGAAAGTATGAGATAATGTGCACACAGCCCAAACTCTCTCTCTCCCCTTGCCCACCCCCAGTACTCCCAGATGAAAAGCCACCACAACATTCAATAGGAATGACAACCCAGCCTCGGTCCACCGGTTGCTTCGCAGAATCAGAATCGGAATATTTATTTGCACCGCAGGAATCCGTTGAGCGTTTACCGGACGCCTTTTCGGTGCGGCGTGATGATATGCCCGCGTGAGCGTCTTCTCTCATTCCTCAGCGGCGCGATCCACGAGTTTGTTTCCCACTGGGGCCGGCTGGGAAATCTTAAGTCGCGCGTGTGGGGCGGGCCCCTCTCTCGCATGCAGCCTGCAGTCCACGCGTGCTCTAGAATGCACGTGCCTTGACTCAAGACGCGAGTGTTGCCTTTTGAAGTTTGCGAGTGGAGAAGTGGATGTTGATCTCAAATTTACACCAAAACGAATCTTTCGTATTGCTCAACAAGCGCCGCATTATTCCAGCGCGGAGTTTTTTTTTATTCGATCTCCCGCCACCGGCAGATGTAACAGTAGGGCAGAGTGTGGGTATTTTCACCTCTTCCGAGTGTGAAAAAGTAGGTCAAATGCCCTCTGAATGGGCTCTCTAAAGCTCCGTCTTGGGGCCCTTCCGCCAGCGGTGGCGTGAGCGAGCAATTGCAGGGGCAGCGCCTCCGCCTCCGTACGTGTGGAGTTCTCTGGTGGCTAAGATTTCCTCTTGCCCAAAATACCGAGAAAAAGCAATTGGCTAAACCTCCCAGGACTCTTCCCGAAAGAGTCTTAAAAAAGAACATTTTTATTACAGCTTTTTGAATGCGTTACAGTGCTGTGTTATCGTTATGGCAGCGCCCGTTATGGGCGATGGTTAACAAAGATCGTGCGCTATCTGGGCAGACGTGTGGTGCTGGCGGCGGCGGCGGCGGCGACGGCGGTGGCAGTGGAGGATTGCAGGGGCAGTGGAGCCGGCCGGGGTGGCTGGCTCACGAGGGGGGGGGTGGGGGCGAGCGGAATTTCAGCAGGGGAGTCCGACCACTTCCCCCGCCCCGAGCATCGCGCGGTATCTCAAGGGACGAGCAGAATGCAACGCTAACGACTTCCTGCGATTACACTGTAGCTGTGGACGAGGGGAAATCCGCCTCCAGTTCACGTCTTGCAGTCCACCGTGGCTCCATTCGAGCCGAAACCAGCCGGTTGCTACGTGCCAATCTCCCTCGAACTCTCTCCAATCCCCTATCACAAAGATGGGAAATGTATCGCCGCTGAGAAACGTGGCACCAGAACGTAAGCAGACCGCAGGGCGAGGCTGGGAAACCCTTTCCCTCCCGAGGCCCGCAGACGACTCTTAAATACCCAACACATTCACGCGCAGACCTCAAGTCACTCCTGTCGCTGCAAGAGACCCTTGCAGCGACAGGAGTGTAACACGGCATTGCCAGGTGGAAAATATTCCCTTCCAGCACCCGATTAGTACGGCTAGGATGCTTGTAGCGGCAGATAAATACTATTTGTGAGATGTTTAGAAGTGGCAGGCCTCACATGGCCGCAGGCCTCACATAGCCGCACGGTGCCGAGACGTTAGCTACCTCACCTGGTATACACGAGGCCATGGGTTCGATCCCAACCCTGAAGCCTGTACACTTGGAGTTTGCATGTTCTCCCTGTGGTCGCGTGGATTTTTCTCCAGGTCCTCCGGTTTTTCCCTCCACATTTAGAAACACGTATTTCAAGTATTTGGCTGCTATAAATGTCAGACACGATGATGAGCCGCTCCATTGAGCGATCATTTGTGGCCAGGTCGCTTCTGAAAAAGAGCTACGTACCTCAGTGGGCCTCACCTGGTAAAAAAAATAAAAATTCAGTTTAGCGTTTAGTTTAACTCCGGTGATGCCCGTGCGCCACTGGGCAGCGCAGGTGAAGCTCACCTGAGCCGGTCGGCCGTCAGGATGATGCGACGCTCCAGCAGCAGCGAGGCGAACACCTGCACGATGTGCCGCGTGCCCAGGCACGCCAGCAGGCACGAGAAGTCCACGTGCTCGAGCCGCGAGTCCAGCGGCCGCCTCAGCTCGATCACCTGCGGTCGGGCGGCAGTGGCGCGCACGGTCACGGCCGGCCGCGAGGGGCTCGGCGCCGGTCGGCGACGGGGAGTCCGTCACCGGCAGCGGAGGTGTAACGCGGGCTTGGTGGGCATACGTTGTGGCCACACGAAGTGCTTGCCACAAATAAACCGCGATGACCTCGCTTATCTCGTCAAGGAGCGTAAACCATCACGTGAACTCCGGTCATCCTCGCAGCAGCGGCCTTTGGATGGCCGTCGAACAAAGGCGGTCACCGCGTCGCGCGCTTTCATGTGCGCTTCTGCGGCCGTCTGGGACGCTCTTCCTTCCGATATCAGGAAGCCACTGGAGCTATGCACTTTTAAATCATCATCTACATTGAAACCGCATTTGTTTAGAACTGCTTTTTGTGTTTGGTTTGTTGTCCTTTCCCGCACCTACAATTACCACGGGTTTGGCCACGTACGGTGCGAAAGAAGTTCAACATACGTACTGTACATTCCGCAGTGCCCGTGCACACAGTGAGGTTGCCTGGTGACAGTGTGGGAGTGGGATCTGGAGTTTGCATGTTCTCCCCGTGGTCACGTAGATTTTTTCTCCGGGTCCTCCAGTGTTTCCCCCCCACATGTAGATTTAACGTGCGTGTAGAGTATTATTTGTCTGCTATAAATGTCCACGTGATTATAAGCCACTTTGTCGAGCTATCATTTGTGGCCAGGTCGCTTCTGAACAAAGAGCTACGTAGCTCCGTGGGGCTTAAACCTGGTCAAATAAAAATCAGCGTAATAGTACATCGTACCTCGTTGCCCGAGCCAGGAAGGAAATTCTTGAGGCGCACGGTGCGTCCGGGCGCGGGGAAGGGCGCGTCGGCGAGCACGCGCATGAAGGGGTAGACGAGCGCTGGGGACATGCAGCGCCGTTTCTCCACCTCGTCCAGGATCTGGCGGGGGGATGGGCGACAGCGTGCGGGGGGGGGGGGGGGGTCGGGGTCGTCGTCGCCAGGGACGGGGACCGGTCGCGACACTTCGCGTGGCTCTGGGCACGGCTCGCGCGGTGATGGCGACGCCGGTTTGGTCGTTTGCCCCCACAACTTGCACGTCGTTCCGACCGCCCTGCGACGAGCGGTCGGCTCCGAGAAATCCCCATGAAATAAAAAAAATCTCTCGACCCATTCCGTCCCTTACAATGTGCGGCTCCTACCAAATCGGACCGCATCTTTAGATGCCATGCCATTTAGACATTTCACAGATCTAAATTATACGTCAACTGATATAGGTATCGCATGGAGAAACCCTGCCATGCATCATGCGGATGCCTTGAGTGGTGCGTGCTGGCCATGCTGTCTTCACGCAGCGATGGCCCTGAGTGGGGTTTTTTGCGCGGAGTCACCTTTGAGAAGAGGGTGAAGCAGCCCAGACGGCTGATGATGCAGTACACCTCGGGCAGGCCCTTCCCCTCGGGCTGCAGGCACACGGTGGCGCAGGGTGTCACGGGAGGGGTCACGGTGTCACAGGGCGGCACACGGTGGCGCGGGATGACACACGGTCACACGCGGTGTGGCGCACGTGGCTTGGTGCGACACCACGTGAGAGAGCACAGGGTGGCATGTCACGAGGTGGCAGTGTCGAATGGGAAGAGGCAATAGGGAGGCATGAGGTGGCACGGTGTGTAATGGCATCGGGTGGTGTGGTACAACACAACGTGAAATGCCACACGATGCCACGCTGCGAGGCGAGCATGGCGACGGCGTATGAGGCGACGTGGCGAGATGGCGGCGCGGTGCGGGAAGAGGCGCGCCATGGCGTGGGGGGTACGGGATGGTTGCGGAAATGCGCGCGGCTGCCGTGGTGCGGAGAGAACGCTGACCGTCAGCCTCCGGCAGTACCCGAAGCGGCGGATGCCGTCCTCGTACGTGAGCACGAACGAGAAGGTCTCACTGCGGCAACACGACGCGGGAAAACACGCGGGCGGGCGTTACGTCCGCGCGACGCCACGACAACAACGACAACAACAGCGCCCGCGCCACGCTAGGCGCACTTTGTGAAGCCACGGGAAGTGTCAAGAAACAGATCCAGGTGCCGTGCGCTGACCGACCGAAATGGCGAGCAGACGCACACCCAGCTGTGCTGCCCAACTGTGCCAACTCACTGAGTTTTATCTGCCCGGCAGTCGCTCTCCAGCAACGACAGAGGGCAGAAGAGCGACGCTCGCAAACAAAAAGCAACGCCACAACAAAGACAAAGATTCCCCCGTATAGCCTGTAACAGACTGTTGTTAGCGAGCGCCAATGAAGGCCGACACGGCACACAAAGGGGTGGGTGGACAACACCACGTCCGGCCGCCTTTGTCTCCCCATCGGCGATATTTACACACCGCACTAGGTACTCATTTGAAGCTGAGTCGACCTAGGGGATGCCCAGGACCGGTTCAAATAATCGTCAGCGGTGTTGGCCATGAGCGGGAATCACGCGAACAGCTCCACCGCCGCTCCCCACACGCCGCTTCCCCGGCTTGCCTGGGACACGGCCCTCTGGGTCCCTCCGGGGCTCCGGGTCCCACCACGGGGCCCAGCTCGCGCACGTCGGGGAAGCAGAAGTGGGGGATGACCTTGAGTCTCTCCTCGGCCTCACGCGCCTCCTGGCTCGGCCGCTCTAGCTAAGGGGCCACGCACGCACGCACACAAAGACAGAGGCCCCCGGTGTAGCCTTCAACAGACTGTAGGGGCAAGTGCGCTGTTAGCGAGCAGCACCCGTGAAGGTCGGAACGGTGCACGAGGGCGAGGGGGTGAGTGGCCAGCGGCATGCCCACGGCCGCCTTGTTCTCCCTAACGCTGACGTTCGCGCACCGAACCAGGTACTCATTTAAAGCTGAGTGCAGTGCGCTAACCACTGTGCCACCGCTCCCCACGTACACACACTCACACACAAACAGCCGCCGTTCGCGGCTAAGTCGCGGTGACATCACCACGGCGATTGTGCCAGGCCAGGTGCGCTTTGAGGCCGCACACACGCGCGCGCACACACAAAGACAAGGGCCCACGGCGGTGTAGCCTTACAGATTGTCGGAGACAAAGCAAGGACGTGCTGCGTGTATGTTGAAATTATTTCGAAACCGTACGTAGTCATCTTCTTTGGTTCTTTCGGTAAAGTCACGTAGAATGAGAATAAAATAATAAATTGATAAAATAAAATAACACAATTAAAATTCTCACGACGTTTCGGCCACAACACAAGTGGCCTTCATCAGGTGAAAGGAACAGACCCGTCGGGACGACAGAGCTTCAATGAACGTTGTTAAGCTTCGTAGCGTCTTTTGGTTTAGAGAAGTGAGGCACCCTCAACTCACTTCTCTAAACCAGCTTAAAAAGACGCTACGAATCTTAACAACGTTCATTGAAGCTCTGTCGTCCCGACGGGTCTGTTCCTTTCACCTGAAGAAGGCCGCTTGTGTTGTGGCCGAAACGTCGTGAGAATTTTATTGTTATTTTATTAATTTATTATTTTATTCTCATTCTACGTGACTTTACCGAAAGAACCAAAGAAGATGAATCCTTGCAGTCACGAAAGCTTTAAATCGAAACGTACGTAGTCAACCGTGCTAATCGGAGGCGCGTAACGCAGCTCAGGCGCCTGGTGGGGCTCGCGCGCACGCAACCTCACACGCGCTCACCTTGGGGAACTGGTAGGTGAGCTGCGGCGTGAAGGTGCCGGGCGCCCCCGGCCCCGCGCCGCAGCCCGCCGCGGGCCGCTCGCGAAGCGACACCACCACGAAGTGCTCGAAGAGGCGGCGGTTGTGCGGGTCGAGCTGCTCGAGCTCCAGCGTGCGCCCGCTCTTGGCGCGACGCAGCGCCGCCGCCACGTGCACCAGGCGCAGCCGGTGCTCTAGGAACGACGCACGGTGGTGGTGGGGGGGGGAGGGTGGTGGCGGTGAGACGGAGATGGAAGACGTACGCGGAGAGAAGGGCGGCCGGGCGCGCGAGTGGCGAGGCGAGCGCGGAGCGACGCGGGAACGGGCGAGTGGGCAAGAGAGGAAGAGGAGGCATCGGGTGAGCGAGTGGGATTGAGAGAAAAGAGAGAGAGAGAGCGAAGGAGGAGAAAAGAGGGAGAGGTAGGGAAGGCAGCACGTGGACACGGTCCACGAAGGGAAGGGAGTGCGTGAGCGGGGAGGACGAAGGGAAAGGCGGATAGAGCCACGTACCTCACAGCGATTGAGAGCAGCAGGAAGAGAAGAGCTCAAGACAGGAGGTGATGAAGTTGTTGTCTCACCTGTCAGCTGCTCGTCAGAGTCACTCTCACTGTCGCTGTTCTCATCTGCCCGCGCACACACACACACAAGTGAACACAACTTAATTATCCACCGTCGGCCTCGCCGATCTTTGCTCTGACCACAAGTGCGGCAAAGCACAAAGGTTCACGCAATAGAGAGAATGCGAAACATTAGCACAGTGTTAAGGCAAAAATGATACCACGAAGATCGTCTTTTCGCGAAAGACTGATGCCGCATCAGCAATCGTGCTGCGTGAAATTGCATCGCGGCAACCCGACCGCTCAACCCCACCGTTCGATCGGACGTCGCCTGTGAACGCGGCTGGTCTCCAGTCCGACGTTCTCCGTGAGACAGCGGCGGGCCACGAGTTCACCAGCAGTGCGACTGGCTTACCTCATCGTCGCTCGAGCGAGGACAAACGCACCGGCGGTGTGATCCGAGGCCAAGGCCACGTGACCCGAGCGCCCTGACCTTTGAGTGACTCTGGGCTGGACACCGACGTCTTTTTCCAGCGCTTCCAGCCGCACCGCGCAGTGAAGATGCTGTTAATCTTCTGCACGGACTGTGAAGTTACACGCGTGTCAGCACACGGACACACACACTAACATACTGCTGAGGCAGGCACTGTTAACGAGCACCTATGAAGGCCGGCACGGCAGATGAGGTGGCCAACACCACGCCCGGTCGGACCCGCCTTTGTCTCCCCCAGTGCTGATGCTTTCATACGCAACACACCAGGTACTCGTTTGAGGCTGAGCCGACCTAAGTGAGGCCCTGAACCGGTTCAGTTAATCGTCACCGGTGTTGGCCCTGAGCGGGTTCATAGCACAGTGCAGCGCTAACTTCTGTGTGCGTGCACACACCCACCCACACTTGTGGACAGAATAGACATGTCACGGGAACTCTGTAAAAATTCTTTAAGTGGCCTGTCCACCGCACCCTGCTATGAGATCGTTTGTGACGCGAGAGTCAAACCGATTCTTTGTGTCATTATCAAGAGCTGGAATTTACACAAAGCAGATGCAAAAGCAAGTTGAATGAGATGCGTTTTGTTGCGAATCCATTGGTGCCCAGGCTGGTGGTCGCTGCAACGTGAATGAGGTTAAGATTGAAAACTCTTTTCTTTAGAACTGCTTTTTGTGTGTAGTTTGTTGCCCTTCCTCTGCACCTCCGATTAGAACGGTTCGCTACGTATGGTGCGAAAGAAGTTCAACATGCGTGCATTCAAAACGTAAAAGCATTACACCTTCACTCACCTCCTAACGTAGTGAAACACACAGGGTGGCCCAATAGTCAAGACACGGGGTTTTTATATGTATATTAACAAATGACATAGGGTTACTACAGCAGCATCAGCACAGGTGCGTGGCACACCGGGTATCACAACAGCAGCCACCGACAGCTGGCCAGGTCGCCGTTGTCACATCACCGCCTCCGATTGGCACGGCCGGCTACGCACGGTGCAAAAGCATTCCCAACGTACGTTGCGCGCACACGCACACGCACGTTGGGAATTCTGACGGCGTGCGCGTGCGCGTCACCTTGGGGGCCCTGGCGGGCATGGCGCCGGCGCCCCACTCCTCGTCGGGGCCGCCGCCGGCGAAGAGGAGCGACGAGGGGGAGCCCCGGGCGGCCGCCGCCCCACCACGTCCCGGCCGGGGGGCGCGCAGCGAGGAGGTGCGGCCGCCCCCGCGGGCGCCCGGCCCGACCCCTCGGCGGCCGCCTCCACCCCAGGGCGGCAACTGCAAGGGGCGGCGGGAGGCATTTTTTCCACAGGGCGCCAAACGTCAATCGGGATGTCGTCGCCGTTGTCAACGGGAATGTACGGTGGAAATCCTCTTAGCCTCGCCGATGTGGGCGCGCTATTGGCGGGGATCCCCATGATTATTAGCATCATCGTCGAAGTGTGAATGTTCTGCAGAAGTCAACAGGTAATCAGATGAATTCTGCACTTCCAGGAGGCTGCGCTGAGGACTCAAACTCAGGCAGCTGGGCTCTTGGCGCGGTTGCGCTGACCACGATCGTGGCTCTGGTGGCGATGGCGTCATCATTTTCGTAGCTCTTTTAATGACTCAATTGAGCATTGCGGAACCGACAGCTCGATCGCATAAAAGCATTATCGCAGCGTTGCAATTATTACGGCACTTGCGGCAGGCTTACATCGAGTGCGTGGCAGTTGATGAAACTCTCAAGTGGTCGCGATTCATACCGGAAGTCGAGCAGAGCACCAAGAACAAAACCAATAGGACGAACGTTAAAGTCGCGCAAGTCGCAAAGTCGACACAGTAATCGTCGTATTGCGAAACTCGACGTCGTATTGCATCGTGAAGCGTGGCGACGGCGCGGTTGTGACGTCGTGGCGGCACGGGGTTCGGGGGGTGGTGGGTGGGTGGGTGGGTGGTGGTGGGGGGGTTCGCACCCTGGGTTCGGAGAGGGTGGCGCTGCGAGACTTCCCGGGGGCGCTGCGCAAGCAGAGCGAGGAGGAGTCCTCCAGGCTCGAGGCCCACTCCCCGTCGGCGATGTCCTCGTACGGATTCTCGCGCGGGCACGGTTCTGGACAGGTGCGTTGGTGGGGGTTAGAGCCCACGGTTACCGCACAGAGACAAGTCCAGTTGTTAGTGCCGATGATCTGCGAATCGCAGACAGCACGACAGTTTCTATATCCTTGCCGAGTGCCCGATATCTCCTTAAGAAGGTTCCTGCATTTTGTGGCGATTGGCCGAATTCTCCCGTAAGCGGGAGGAAACTAAAGTATGCAAGAGAGAAAATGGGGAGAGAGAGCCCGTAAGGAAAATTAGGAGGTAAGAAATACTTGTATTCTTTGTGTGGATGAACGGATGGAGGAGACTCCTTGTCTGCTGCAGCTATTTCGCTCAATATCGATCACCCGCCGCTATGACAGCTCGTGCAATCGATGCCCAGCTGATCGACATTGAGAACAGATGAATCGCGAACGCTGGACTCTATGAATCAGCCTGGTATGTACGTATGTTGAACTTCTTTCGCACCGTGCATAGCCAACCGTGTTAATTGAAGGTGCGGGGGAAAGGACAACAAACGAGAAACAAAAGCAGTTCTCAAGCAATGAGATTTCAATCGAGATTTTAAAGTGCGCGGCCTCGTGCCCCCTCGCCGGCCTGCCACACCGATGATGTCCTCGTAGATGTTTTCATGGGAGAGGGCGAGTCCGAACTCGGGGCTGTGCGGCTGGAACGGAGGCAAGGGCAGCTCCTGCAGTGGCACACGGGGTCGCGACGGCACCGCACTCGGCTCCGGGGAGGACCTGCACACACACAAAGACAAACATCCCCCCCACCGTGTAGCCTTAGCGGACTGTCGGAGCAACTGATGTTAGCTAGAAGCACCTGTGAAGGCCGAGCACGGAACGCGAGGGGGGTGGTGGGTGGCCAGCACCGTGCTCGGCTGCCTTTGTCTCCTCAGTGCTGATGCACCAGGGATTTATTTAAGGCTGAGTGGATCTAGCAGAGGGCACGAGCGGGAATCTAAATGGATTCGCCGGGTTCGTAGCACAGCGCTCCGACCGCTGCAGTACTCTACCCGCACACTCACACGCAGACGTACGCATGCACGCACAGACAGAGGCACGCAGGGAAAGAAGGCCAACACGTAGTGAACCACGCGCCTCCGTGCAGCAAGCGCCAGCAAGGGGTGGGTCGCATCCGAGTGTTCTCCCGTCTAGGTTTGCACCCTCAAGCCACGTCGGAACACGCTGGCAGCGAGTGCTCGCTAAATGGGCTCAATGGGATTCAACAGGAACATTCCCGACAGCTGTTTCGACATCGCTCGTCCTCAGTACATAATTGCACGAGTCCGTTGACCCGGCTTTGATTCCCGGCGACGGCTAACGACGGGCGACTGAAATCTGAAATGCTCCTGGCCCACCTCCCGACTGCCTTCACCGACACGCTGACCAGAGTGGTCAGACAACTCCCATGGCCGACACAGGATGAGGAGGCTTGTCATTCACCAGCGGACTGACGAAGGGTCTAGATCAATACGTGCAACTTCTGTATGTTTGTGCTGGTGCCGTGGGACGTTTGCCTCTGCGTGTGTGTATGTGTAGCCAGTGACACGGTGGGTACAGGATTGCACTGAAATCCCTGGGGTCGATCACTCTCCACGGACAACATCAAAGGCTTGTGACATCTGAACCTGTCCTTGACCTCCGATGCACTGACTCAACCGAGTACCGCGGCGCAGCGTGTAAATATTGACGCTGCAAAAATCAAAGGCAGCTGGGCGTAATGTTGCCCGGCCACCACACTCTCTACGATTGGCACCTCCGATTAGTACGGTTGGCTACGGACGGTGCGAAAGAAGTTCAAAATGCATACGTACGTACTCTTTTAACGCATTCGAGATCAAGGTGTCGGCAAAACCGTCGACGCCCCCGCACCCCGTTAACGCTTCCTACCCTTCTGCAACCTCCGCAATATGTACCGACGGTCTGCCACCATCTGCTCTCAGGCCTTCTTCATCCAGCAAGCACGTGGCTCGGTAACCAGGCCACCTCCCACATCCAGCACGCGCATTCCGCCCAGCGCAACATGTGTCGCCTCATCATGTCTACAACGCTTACCTGGCATGTTCACTTCTGCTCAGGCTGACCCTGTCGTGCCAAGGCATTCCTAGCAACACACCTATGCTCAAACGCCAACAGCTTCTCTTTGCACTGCTTAGTGAGAGTGCAGCTCTCTTATCCGCACATGCCTCAAATACCCTTTTATGTAAACTGTGACCGATCTTTTCCAAAGTGGTTTCAAAAACCCCGCTTGCTAGAGCAATGCGCCTCTTGACCTCCTTCTCGCAGCCCCCTGCATTGTACGGTCTCGTGCGCGTGTGCGCGTGCACGTCCTTGTGCGTGTGTGCGTGCCGTGCATCTGCCAGTCATCCCGGTCAGTCAACCCGCAGCGCCTGGATCGGTCCCGTAACCTTTCCGTCAGCAGCGTGCATTCGACACTTCGCGTGGCCTCAAAGTGCACCTGGCCTGGCACAAGCGCCATTGTGACGTCACCGCCGCCTAGCGGCGAACGGCAGCGGTCGCTGCCGCCGCTGCTGTGCGTGCGTGCGTGCCCACCGACGCTCTCTTTCCTCCCTTACAATCGCGAGCAGTCCTGGCCAGGGCGCGGCGGCTGCTGCGTAGAGCACGGGGGGGGGCTGCTGGGCAGCGGCGGCGCCGGAGAGGACGGCGGCGGCAGCAGCGAGGAGGGCGGCGCGGGGGCGTCTCCGCCACCGCTGCCCTCGAACGGACCGGCCCGGTACTCGAACGTCCGCCGCGGCTTCGGCGGCGCGTCCGCGGGGGGGGGCGAGAGCGTGCGCGCGGGCGACAGCGTCGGGCTGGGGCTGTCGCAGAGCGCCGGGTCGGCGTACACGTTCTCCGAGTCCCACGGCGCGTCGCTGCGCGCGCTGTACACGCTGCCCACGGTGCTGTAGTCCGTCTCGCTCGGCTCCGAGCCACGGCTGTCGCGGCGCCGCCGGGCGGCCGTCGCCGGGGACGCCCGGCGCTCGCGGGCGGCGCCCGGCACGCGGGGCCCGAGCCCGGCCCGCGAACGCCGCGCCTCCCTCGTGCCGTAAAAGATGCCGGGCAGCTCGGGCACGCCGTGGTTGGGGCAGTCCTGCGTGGCGCGCTCCAGGGTCCGCACGCGGGACAGAACGGAGGCGACGCCCCCTCGCTTGCCCCCGCCCCGCGGCGCTGCTTCGCCCGCGGGCGACGCCTCCTTCCTCGCGCCGTCGAGCTCACCCGGAGGCACGAATCCGACCGTCGCCCCGATCGCTCGGGGACTTTTGCTCCGTGCACCGCGGCCCTCTGCCACGCGGCGCCCCGCGTCCGCGTCGCTCCCCCCTCGGCCCGGCTGCACCGTGGGGCTCCCCACCCTCTCGCTGTTCGCGGTCGTCCCCGTCGCGCCGCACCTGCTCGACGCGCAGTCGCCGGCACGCGCGCTCGCGCCTAATTCCGCTATCCTGTCCGATGCTGTACGAGTGACGCCCCCCGCTGCTCTGCCAACGGCTTCGCCGCTACAGCCCCCGTGCTCTCTCCGCTCCGACGATTTCCCATTGACGCTTTCCTGCAGTCCGCCGCGGCGTTGGGTCTGCGCGCCCGGCAGGGCACAAGCTGCCGCTGCCGGCTTGGGCTGCGGGTGGGCGGGCGTGCGGTACCAGCCCTCCGAGGGCCCCGCTTTGAGTTGGCCAGCGCACGCCATGCTCGGTCTCACCGTTGCAGCTTTTTCGCCTCCGGGCACAAGGCCAACCCCACCGCTGACATTATTATTTAAGGAGGCATCCGTGTTCGTGGTTTTGATGAAGAGACGCTTGTTGTTGGTTAGCGCCTCCGCGAGAGGCTTGCACGAATCAGACCCTCCGCACATCCGCGTCCGCACGCCATCAGCATTCCCGGTAACGTCCCGCCGAGCGCCCGGGCTCTGAGCTGATCCCGCACGCTCACGTGCGGCCGCTGCTCCAGTCATGGAGCGACCGCATTCGTCCAGCAGCGTCACCTCTCCTCCTCCTCCGGTTGTGGCGCTGAGGCTTTTGTCTGGAAGTGGTGTCCGCTGGATCACTCCGGCGGCTGTGCTGGCCTCGCGGCTCGGCGATCGTGGCCCAGCAAGAGGCTCGCGCACCTCGCCTGGTTTCACACCCTCCTCCTCCTCCTCCTTCTTCATCCTCGTTCGCTGCCTCTCTGGCCCTGTCGGTGCTGCCGGCTCCTTTGGAGTGGCCAATCCTCGGCCCACGGCGCCCCCTCCGTTCCCCGAGTCGGCATCCCCCTGCCGCCCCTCCCAGCGCTCGATCCGTTGGCGGATGACCTCGGCGCGGCCTCGTGCATTGGCCGCTCTCGCTCCCGCCTCCGGCGCCACCACCGCCGCGGCCGTCGTCGCGGTGGCGTCCCTCGACGGACGCGAGTTGAGCGCGCCACCGTTGACGAGGCCATTCTGACGAGGGGGCGGCCGCCGCCGGAAGCCGCATTCAGCCCCGCGCTCCGCGCTCAGGTCGAAGTCCCCGTCGGGGTTCGTCGGGGTCGTGGGCTCGCAGCTGAGGTCACGCGCCCGAGTCCTGCGCAGCGCGTAACCTCCGGGCGGCCCGCCGGCCCGGCACCCTTCCCCTCTCCGCCCGCCGCGGACCCCGCACACGTCCACCTCGCTGCTGGCCAGCTTGAGCGTGTGCGGCCTGCATTGGGCACGCAGCGCCGAACTCTGGGGCCCGGCAGACGGCAGGCTCAACAGGGACTGCGAGAGAGGCCTGGGGGAAACGGGGCGAGAGGGGCAGAGGTCGGGGGTTCGCGAGGTCAGGGTGCGTGGGCAGGAACGCAAGCGTCAAAACAGAGGTTCCGTTTCCGATGCACGTTTTGCACAATGGGGCACGTCAAACTGCGAATCTGCATACGCCGACGTGTAAATACCGTGACAGCAAACATAATCCATACACTTCGCCTGCTTGTTGTTGAAATCCATTCGGTTTTTTAAAAAATGCTTTGAAAATCGGTGGAGGTAAATAATGGGACAGGCCGGCTCCGTCGCGAGCGTGACGTTCCGCCCGCTTGCGAGAGAGGCTCTGCGCGCGAGCTCCTCTCACCTGTGCACGGGCATGCGGTGCGCTGGCGCAGAACTCGAGGACGGCGCGCTGCTCTCCAGCGAGGGGACGACCGTGGTCATGAGGTCACGTGTCGCCTGCGCTCCAACGTTCACCTTGCACGGAGGCGAGAGAGGGACGAGCGATTGCCGGGGGGGGAACCCTGCAACAAAAACATTAAAAACAAAGCGAATGTGACCTCGTATGGACTCTTGATTGTGGGGAGCGGTGGTGCAGCGGTTGGCGCGCTGCGCTACGAAGCCGTCGACCCGGTTTCGATTCCCGCTCACAGGCAACACCGAATCGGTCCTGGGCATCCCCTAGGTCGACTCAGCCTCAAATGAGTACCTGGTGTGGTGTGTAAATCATCACCTCTGGGCGTGGTGCTGGCCACCCACCCCCTCCCGTGCCGTGCTGCCCTTCATTGGTGCTCGCTAACAGCACTTGCCCCAACAGTCTGTTATGTCTATATGGGGGATATTTGTTTTTTTGTATACTCCTGTGTGTGTTGGTGTCGTTCTCCATGTGTAAGGATGCCATTCAGTGAGTGCGTGTGTCCTGTGTGTGTTGGTGTCTGTTGGTGTCTGCTTGTAGACCTTCACAACTCCGATTAGGACAATTGTCTACCTACAGTGTGAAAGAAGTTCAACATACATACAAACACAAACATATAGTGTACATTTCTAAATGTATATGACCACAGGGATGTCCCTTTATGGAATGACTCGGCCATTTTATTTTAATTTAGCAGCCAAATGACCGTCTATAGTCACCCAACCGGCCACACCCAACAAAGCGTTCAGCCATCCAGTCAGCCACTAAACCAGACAACTTCCCCACTTTCTAACGTTAACGATGGCCAGCCAGTAGGCCAGCCAGTCAAGCAGCCAGTGAGCCAACAAGCCTCCTAGTCACTACCCAACAACGCAGTATGCACCAAGAGAGGCGGTTACACGGCACCATTCCTGTCAAGGGAAGTGCTCGCCTCAAGATGAGAGACTGGTTGCCAGTTCAAATCCTATCTGGGCATCGATGAAGCCTTGCATCTCTCTGGAATTTATGAAAATGTGTGAAGTGGGAAGTCAACCCGCCCCGCCCACCCCCAACTCCACGGGAACGTGGAATTTCCTCCATTGCCTCCGGGCCACCGGTGGAGAAAAGCGCCGCTCCTCGCTCGTAAGAACCTGCAGAGAGAGCCCTGCAGTGAGAGCCCCGCAGTGAGAGCCCCGCAGTGAGAACCCCGCAGTGAGAGCCCTGCAGAGAGAGCCCTGCAGTGAGAGCCCTGCAGAGAGAGCCCTGCAGTGAGAGCTCTGTAGAGAGAGCCCTGCAGAGAGAGCCCTGCAGTGAGAGCCCTGCAGTGAGAGCCCTGTAGAGAGAACCCTGCAGTGAGAGCCCCGCAGTGAGAGCCCTGCAGAGAGAGCCCTGCAGAGAGAGCCCTGTAGAGAGTGCCCTGCAGTGAGAGCCCTGCAGTGAGAGCCCTATAGAGAGAGAGCCCTGCAGTCAGAGCTCTGTAGAGAGAGCCCTGCAGAGAGAGCCCTGCAGTGAGAGCCCTGCAGTGAGAGCCCTGTAGAGAGAGAGCCCTGCAGTCAGAGCTCTGTAGAGAGAGCCCTGCAGAGAGAGCCCTGCAGTGAGAGCCCTGCAGTGAGAGCCCTATAGAGAGAGAGAGCCCTGCAGTGAGAGCCCTGCAGTGAGAGCCCTGCAGATAGAGCCCTGTAGAGAGAGCCCTGCAGTGAGAGCCCCGCAGAGAGAGCCCTGCAGAGAGAGCCCTGCAGTGAGAGCCCTGCAGGCGGCCTGGCCGTCGTCGTCCCGTCACTGAGGAATACCCCAGCGAGATCGCCAGACACCCCTCACCTTGAGCTGTACGAGCATTCTCCCCCCCAAAAAAACTACACTTGGCTTTAGATCTGCGCACAGATGTGAATTAAAATCACGTGCAGGAGAGGGACGTGATGGGGGGGGGGACTGCAGGGTGGGAGGATGGAGGAGGGGTCTGGAGACAGGGAGTTGCGAGCGAGGGAGGGAGTGAAGTGAAAGAGACAAGAGGATGGAAGAGGGTTGTGGGAGGTGGTACAGAGTGGATTTTAAATGGTTAGAAGGCATGTAATTAATACCCAATCCCGAGACGTGATGAATTGTTATAACCTGCATCAACAATCGATATCTTTCGTCTCGCTTTTTGCCCGGCTTCGTATTTTTGTTTTGTCCTGTCCGGAGATTATTCTAGGTGTGTATCGTGAGCATTATAATGCATCAATGCATTGATAAATAAAGGAATCAATGTTGCTAAATACCTGTCAAAATGAAAGAGATACATGGTGCGGGGGTAAGAGTGGGAGGATGAGGCAGGAGAATAGGAGGAGAGCCCTGCAGAAAGAGATAATCAGAAGGACAAGGACTTGAAGAAGTGTTGTAAGGAGGAACTGGGTAAGAGGTAGGAGACATGGGGGAGGGATGGGTGAGCTGGGAGTGGGTGGAGGGGAGAGATCTGTGACATGTACAGACGATGCCTGGGGGATTCCTCATGCGATGATCCTTGAACATCCTTCCTGAACATGTGTGGTACAGTAACGCGCGCCCCCATCATCTCGAGCAGGGTCACTCGCCAGCGGTGCTCTCTGCCCTTCCTCGTGCGCGGAAATGTGAACATTTTTGTCTGGTGATTTAATGTCGTTAAAATGCGGTCCGTGTTGCTTATTGGAGAAGAGAAGTAAATAACGGGAAAATATTAAACATTGGAATTAAACGTATTGAAGTGTCTATGCCCATATGATCGACGTGTAAAATCACAACACACCTTCACTTACCGCCCAACGTACTGAAACATACAGGGTGGCCCAAAAGTCAGGATACATTGGGTTATTATATTTATTTTAACAAATGGCATCGGGTGACTTAATTTATTTTAACAAATGTTCAATGTAACCCTCATTAACATAAACGTATGCATTTTCTTTTCAACTTAATGTAGGACTTTTGTTTTAAAGATTACAGTTGTAATTTTTTTAACATTCATAAATCATGTTTTGTCTCAATGCATTCCGGGTTCTTGGCCGGGTTTTGTAAATGACGGATTTGAGGTGATTTCACGGCAAGAAAAAGAAGAATAGATATTAATGATAACAGATACAATATTAACTGAAAGAATAAACAATGAAAATGCCAGGTGTTAAAACAAACGAAATGACCCCGTGTGTCCTGAATGTTGGGCCATCCTGTCTTCACTCACTCCATATTGGTTGTCTGTCCAAGCTTCATGTAGGTGGCAGGGTGGCTCAGAGTTCAGGGCACTGACTCAGCACACATGAAATCCTGGGTTTAAATCCAAGTTTCAGCCACCCATGGTTAAACAGGGACCTCAAATGTTACCAGCGTTGATGATCTCAACATGGTCACCAATGACTGCACTTCAATTGGCAAAGATGCAAACTCTCTAAACGTTAACTTCAGTTTACCTTTTGATTTAATGCTTTCGTGACTGCAGGGATTCATATTCTTGGTTCTTTCGGTAAAGTCACGTAGAAGGGAAACAATTATTATTTTATTGTTTCCCTTCAGTTTACCTGTCAAGCGACTAACACGTCTACATATATGGCATTGGGGCTTAATATAGCCCCCCTGGTGCGGACAAAATGATAGGTCCCGTGAAGGGATTTCTGTGAAATCACCCTTTAATGAGATGTTCTCCAACGCACGATGATGCATGCAGTGCCAAGCGTGAGGTCTGATCGCGCATTTCTTCATCTCTTGATATGACACGAACAGCAGAAAAAATGTTTAGGTAACTTTGATAAAAAGCCAAAACCGTGAAGCTTTCAAAACACATTTAAGCTTCAGATTAGATACTGCGATTGCGTTAGGTTTGTGAAGCGATGATGACCGCTGCTCGTTCGCAACTCACGTATTTATTTATTTAAACGCCGTAACCGTGAATATTTGAAAATGGAGTAAACATGCTGCGGGAACGAGCCCCCGGTGCCCTTGATCTGTGCAGGGAGATTGACTCAGACAGGAAGGGCGCGCAGAGAAGTGCCACAGTGGAAGGAAACAGCGAGCGTACGAAGTTGATACATCGCGTGAACCCCAAAGTGTTGTTGCGCTGACGCTGACGTGTGTCATTTTGAATGAGAGAGCACATGAATCACCAGTTTGTCGTGAGAGCTGTTGTTTAAGGTTAGCCCATAGCAGTGAGCACCGCTCATCGATGCCAGCTTACCCAGTCAGAATCTACTCTGCAACCGTTGGCGGTAGTACACGTACACTATGAACCCGCAAACTCAAGTTCGATTCCCCAGGTATGTCTAACAGCCACGGGCGAAGTGGTACGGGATATGGAGCCATTTGTCACCCTTCACTTACACGGTGAAGTGGGGTCCCACAACCCTTAGGACTGACAGCGGCGTGGGGAGGCCTTCATTCAGCAGTGGATTGGGTAAAGCGAAATGCGAGGGGAGACCGAGGCAGGTGTAAGTCCACGGAGGCCGTTTAAGACGATGAGGCCAATCTTGTAGTTGATCCAGAAGATTTTAATGGAGCCATATATGGGATTGGGATGGTGTTAACTATCTCGCCTGGTATACAGGAGTGCGTGGGTTCGAGCCTAACCCTGATGCCTGCTGCTGTATATTTGAAGGTTGCTTGTCTCTCTCCCCGTGGTGGTGTGGATTTTTCTCCAGGTTCTCCGAATTTTCCCTCCGCATTTAGAATCAACATCACCCGTTTAGAGTATGTGGCTGCTGTATATTTCCACGTGATACGTCACTTCGTTGAGCTATCATTTGTGGCCAGGTCGCTTCTGAAAAATACCTATATAGATCGGTGGGCTTAACCTGGTAAAATGAAAAATAGTACTTTACCTAATTTACGAGTGTGGGCGAGAAAAAATCTTAGCCTGTACAAGGCCACTATATGAACTCTGGCTACACACGAGTTTGCGTACTAATGTGTGTATGCAAACGTGTTTTGTGTGTGTACTGCCCTTTAAATACGACAGACGTGTCTTTAAACTACTACTGCATGGTGCGGTGTGAAAGCCTGCGTGCGTTAGCTGCGTGTTTTTTTTTGGGAGCGTTATTCCGTGTGTCGTTAGGGTGTGCATGCCCCTTTGGGATCTGACCGCCATATAAGGCAGCCAAAGCACAGAAACTTTAATATTTGCCCAAATCG